CAGTGCCATTCGGTCAGGCACACACACACACACACGTGAAGAAACTTATATTAATTATTAGTAATTATAGTTCGAAAACTTAACTTTCGTATAATAGTAAATATATATAATCTACATACTGACACTATAGTATCTTCAAAATATTGTTTGTCGTTCAAAAGTGCCTGTAAGGGTCTTATAGGAATAAATGATTTTTGACTTTTTTTTAATAGAGCTTAAGTCACATTAACGTAGAAAGTAGAAGACTTTTATTTAGACGAAGCAGACCAACATTTAAAAAAGTCTAGCTCTGTGTAACTATTTGATTTAATTGTAACAAATAAGCCCAACTGATTAAAAGAGATTGCTTACAACGTTTGTACGTCATTCTGTATTTTAGAGAAAAGGTATTTAAAGTAAAAATGGAATGATTCTTTGAAAATTAAGTAAAGCTTCTAAGGAATGCTGTATGAGTGAAGTGGAAAACTAAATAGTTTAATTTGAGCATAGGATTCACTTAATTCTATACTGGACGGGTAATCATGGGGTTGATAGTATATTAATGAAAGTCGAATTTAGTAAGTATAAATTTATTCTAACAATCAATAGTCATAATGGCTGGTATGACTACTGATATAACATCAACAACTATAATACGAGTACATATTTAATTTTAATACATCAATCGTTACTAAGATACACAAATATTTTATCTAAAATTCTAAACAGTGAGTTGCCTACCGCCTATAAAGTAATCTAAAGGCTAGTATTAAAAGCTTGATTATATGAAATATTTGATTATGTACTATTAATACGAATAATAGATTTCCTATTGAAGATGTAAACTTGCTTATTACAAACATCAAGAGATATAGTGAAAGCGGATACTACAAGCTACACATCGAGTAAGCTGAAGTGTAGCGCCAGTGGAGCGTTTCACATTCCTAACGTAATGGAAGATCCATTGATATCCAATCCATTTACTTTAAAAATCATTATACCATTCATCAGTCCGCATTGCCCAGGACGGAGTGACGAATAGTAATTTGAATTAAAAAAAATGAGTGATAAAAACACATTATTTAAAAAAAATGGAGCACGTACACATCAAATCTAAACATTTAGAGTTAAAATTGAGATTAAATACGTGATATTGTTTTTCTAACACAGACTTTACTAATTGTTATCTACTACTTAGTAAAGCATAAATAATATCATGTGGGTACATGAACTTTCAGTTCTAATCTACTCACAATTTTAAATAGAACGAGTGATTATAATAATCGATTTATTGTTTCTATTATCTACACAGCATTTCATTTTCCTTAATTCTAAGTGTTTATCACTAATACTTTAATAATATTATGTTATATGGAGAATACATTTGCTATTAGAGTAGGTACTTATTGGCGCCAAATTATATTGCGCTAGAGAGACGAATTAAACCGTTTATGTATTACACAACATCATATTTTTTTCAATCCCTACTACCAATACTACATCTTATTGTTAATAAACAGCCACATATTTCACTTACATCTTTAGAATAAATAGAATCCTACATTTATTAATGCTACCATACACATTTTGAGTCTTAGATTTACAATATTTCATCATATCAACTACAACAGAAAGTATATTAGGATCGAACTGAATTTGATAAGCTAATTTTATGAATAGGCGATTAGTAAGTTTCTACAGATTGGCCTATTGCGCAACACTACTAGGAGTTTTACGGTTACCAGGTTAAAAATATACTACGGGTGTATTTTCTAAGTGTGACAACACTGAAGTCTTAACTGGGATTTTTCAAGGATATGGATGGGTTCAATCAAAAGAATTATTTATATTGTTATTGTAAAACTAACATTGAGTTCTTTTTCAAGAAACATTTTTCATAATAGTAATTGTTCCAGCGTCAACCTTTATGCTTGATGGGTCTATATATCTAAACTACAGCTAAAACATCGACGGTTTGCTGAATATTGAGTTAAACTTACAGGCGTTTTTGTTCACGCGAAAAGTAGCCTATATTTAACGCTATAATTATCTACTTTATATCAGTAACATACAATATTATCTTAACAACAATCAGTATATGTAATAAATAGACATCAAAATATTTTTTATATATTTTTTAAACATGTACTTTGGTAGGTCCACCTTCTAGTATAAAGGTATATAGCAATTTCAATACATACAGCATATATCATGATACAATACCTATTCATGAATAATAATACCTAATACAATTTTGCTCTATGACCTGGCTAAAATTACTTAGATTTTCTGCTACGAAGCAAGAGTTCAAATTTAACCTAAAAATATCATCTACTAAATACTTGAATATTATCCTTATTTAATAACAGCCCTTCACTAATAACTCTTACCACTCCAGCCTAAAAGGCTTCCCACACTCGACCTTACATTAAGAAATAATAAGTCTTACATTTGTCACATCGTTGAAAAAAGGCAAAAATATAAACTCGGGGAAGCGATAATCATGAAGTAATAAACAAATGGAGTGCTATAATTATTACACCGACAGTCCCACATATTAAAGCACTCCTTAGGAGCTTACATAAATGGCAATCTTTGCGCTCACGAATGATAAAATTTAAAAAAGTAGAATGTCGATTTCTCCTGTCTGTCCAAAATCTATTAAGATATTTATTTTGTGGATTTGAAGGGAGATGTCTTTCCAATTTCTCCTTTTACTGTAGTTTGTATATAAAGTTTCGTGAATGCCAAAGACGGTCTTTTACGTAGGCCCCTATTTCGCTTCTGTCCGGTACGTAACGCCTAAACGTAATAGACGTCGAAGGAGAGCTGTGCTCAGACGAGCGCGGGTGGCGGAGCTGCGGCGGGGGGAGTGGTCGGTGGGGGGGATGTTGGGGTCACAACAGCTGAGGCCAGTCTCACGCCACCACTCTCTGATACCACCACCCCATTGTGGACCGTACCGTTGCCCTCCGTGTCAGCATACGGAGTCGTCAGTAGACGCAAACGCTGAGAACAGAATGGTAGATTAAAACCAAATGCAATTAGAATGTATTTACTGATCATCATCATCAGCCTATAAGTGCCCACTGCTGATCAAAGGCCTCTTTTAACACGGAGAAGGATTGAGCTTTAATCACCACGCTTGCTTAAGGCTGATTGGCAAACTTATAAGTCCAGGTTTCCTCACGATGTTTTCGATCATCGTATGTGAGGGATGTCTAAATAATCAAACAATGTCCATGTAACACGAAAAAAGTCACATTGGTACATGAAATCATGCATGCATGAAAGCGGGCACCAGAACCTGCGGGCCACCACGACATTTTACTTTAGACAATTTTCTGATCATTAGTACCTACTTAATAGTCTATTAGGAAAAAATAATTATTCGTAAGCAGTCTAGAATATAGCTATACATACCTGATGACCACTACAAAAACTCAATCTTACTACATGGTACTCAAAAACATAACTAAGGGAAACTGAGTGTAGCTTGTAATATACGCGACATTGCCTACTATATTGGCGATTAAAAAGGTGTGAAGAAATGTAATGAGTCTATGCCATACCTCAACAAAAGTTCCCTTCGCAGTAATGAGTTTGTAGATCGCCACAGTCGGAATGCACATGACGCTTGATCCAGCTATAGCCCACCCAAGTGCATTAGCCCATCCAGGATACACGTAGTCCTCATATCTCAGCGGTTCGTAGTCCAGAAGTCCGTAAGCAGTTATGAAGAGAAGGAAGGCCGGGGCGGCGAAACGCCAGCAGACGCGCCAGTATAAACCGGGACGAAAACCGATCATATCGCGGATATCCTCGCAAAAGCGTTCCGTACCTAGTATAGAGTGAATGTATGAGAAAAAGACGTAAAATGTTAGATGTAAAATGTATAAGGTTGCTTTATTTATAAGTTAGTCATCTTCTTTTATAATCATCGATCATCTTCACATCTTATTCTATTATTGTTTCTGAGTTCAATTGTTAGCTGTTGACATCCAACCGCTGCTAAGTCATTCTACGGTCAATCCACCAATTTTTTTTAAGTATATAACTTTAGATATTATTAAGCTGCTCACCATAGATCCAGGACACGGCGATGGCTTCGAAAAACACAGCAACCAATATGGAGTAACCAGCAGCGTATCTATCAAGCAGTTGGAAGAAATAGAAGCCGCCCTTAGTGCAGGATGCCAGACCCACGAAGAAATAGAGAGTGAAGAGACACGCCACGAAGATCTCACGGTGACGACCGATCGGAGGAAACTCATCACTGAGAGCCGTTATTATTGCCTCGGAGCCACCGAACTGGGTACATAAATGTATAATTAATATTTCATCATCATCATCATCATCGCCAGCCTATTAGACCACACTGCTGAGTAAAGGCTTCTTCTCACACGGAGAAGGTTTGAGCATTAATCACCACGCTTGCTCAAGGCAGATTGTTGGTTTAAAACTTTTAATTGGAAATTATAAGTTCAGATTTCCTCACGATGTTATCCTTCACCGTATGTCAGTAGTGTCTAAATATACTTAGAAAGTAGGTACATATAACTCTAAAAAGTCACATTGTTAATTGCCCGGTTTCGAACCCGAGATTTATTCATATTTATAAGATTTGACTGCACGATTGCTTTAAAAGTCGAAAACTTAATAATGGCTGTTAAAGATCAAAAATAAAAAAGGAACTTACAGAGCTATCCAAACCAAGAGTGAGAAGCATCATAAAGAAGATTAAAGCCCAGAAGGTGGAGCCAGGCATGGTCGCTATAGCTGCCGGGTACACCACGAAGACTAGCCCGGGTCCCTCGGTGGCTACATCCTGCACATCTCTGCCTGAAGCATGGGCCATGTACCCTAGCACACTGAAGATCACGAAACCAGCTATGAACGACGTTGCTGAGTTGATCACGCTCGTCAGAATGGCGTCCCTGGCGAAATGCGTATAGAATAAACATGTATTTTTGACGGTTCACATAATTGACATAATTAGTATAGAATTTTATTTAAATCACTCACTTGTACACATTGTTGTGGTACTTATTGTAAGATGCATAAGCCAACAGAACTCCGAAACCTGGTCCCAAGGAAAAGAAAACTTGAGTTGCTGCATCCACCCATACCTAAAAAATTACCATTTTAAAAGTAAAAAGCTTTCTTTCTTATAACATACGAACAAAAGCAAAACAAGTAAGAATTTCAATACCTGAGGCTGAGTAATAGCTTCGAAATTAGGACTGAGGTAATACTGAATACCGGTAGCGGATCCTGGTAAAGTTATACCACGGACCAGGAGAATAAGAAGTACTGCGTACGGAAATAGTGCTGTAAACCAAACAACCTGAAAGAAAAGAAGAACATGTTATGTCACGCCGGTTTTGGCACTGGTATCATAAACTTCATAAATATGTATTTCTTGGACGCAGATCATTGTAAAATTAATCTATCCTGTGACAAAGAATACCTTTGCTTAGCTTAATGCCTTTTATTGTGAGGGGAAAATCATCAAATGTCTACCCCGCCCAGGGTCGGGCGGGAGAGGGAGTGTCAGACTCTTACTGACTAAAAACCCCCCTGTTCCTTCTTCTGCTCTGGGCCGAGGCCGCGGTGGGTCTACGCGCTACTAACTAAATAAATAAAACTAAATTTGAGCTTTTGCACAAGCATTTATGTACATAAAAGGTGAACTTAATGCCATAAGTATTCTTTGCCAGTCGAACCTTTGAGTGATGTAGAGAGGATCTAAATACAAAAATAATTACAACTTCAATATGTACGAAATATGATTTAAAGATCATGTTAACTTACTTTCCCAGAAGTACTGATGCCTTTCCAAAGAGAGAAGTAACAGATAATGTAGACGGCAAGCAAACAGAGAGCCATGTCCCATTTTATTGCGCCTAAATCGTGGAGGCCTTCGCTTCCTTGCAGTTCCAAAATGGCACGACTGGAATTATAAAACCGGTTCAAGTTTATGAAAATGATGAAAAGGACAATAATACTCGTGGAGTGACAACTTACTTGAAATATTCAGAAGCAGCTGATGTGAATGGAGTGGTTGGAGGTGATGCTATGGATCCTGATGAACTGTTATTACGGACTCGAGTTTTGTTCGAAGCTTCCCAGATTGCCTCAAACTGTACATTAGATATTATAGAAAACAATTAAATATTTTATTGAAAACTAAACGCAAAAGACGAGTAATTGTTACTATCTATATATAGTATAGTCGTATCTACGGTAACGTGTGTTCCAAACTTATTTCTTGAGCCCGATGCGTTGAAACAAATATTTAGTTGAAAACAAAATAAATAATGTAGAGAAACTTACAGGTCGGCAAGCTGGTGTATTCCACTCGTTGTCGCAGTTGGTCCAGGGAAGCATGGTGGTGAAGGAAGCGAAGAAGAAGCGCAACGCCCACGCGATTATGACATTGTAGTAGAAGTCCACGTAAAACGCTATCAGAACCACCGCGTACCCGATACCTAATGACGAATTAACAACTCTACACTAAAGAAAATTTTACGATGAAAAGTTGTAAAACAATAACTTGGATAAAATCATTTCGCACTCACTGAAATGTTCCATCAAAAAATACTTTGAGTGAAAGCGGATTTTCCACCTTTCCGGACCATTACCAATTTTATTTCTCTTCAAAAATCATATCGTGGTGGGACCCACTCAGGGCGCGAGACGTGACAATCGGGTGAAATGAAATCAACGGGCATAAGCCGGCCTCGCAAATCTACCGGAGCCTTTTGAGACCGTATGGGACGAGCACTTAAGGGGAGCCCCGAGAATGGTGTCAATTATGGGTGTTAAGTGCGGGGGCGACGTCCGACTAGACCGCTATCTTGTACATGACATGTCCCATGTTTTGCATAAAAAGTCTTGCTTGAAGTCGGGTGGATTGTTTATTGCTTGTGTATGATTGATGACCCTTGAGTCACGAAGCATATTAAACAGAGGTACAAGTAGTAATTATCTTAACCACTTAATAATAATTAATATAGAAAGAAGACAGAACTCCAAAGAGTTAAGTACCTATGTGACTTATTGGTCAACTAGCTCTTACCCGCGGCGTCGCTCCCGTCATTTGTCTACCTACCCTAGTCTACTTACCCTACCTATCCTACTTTACCTACCCTACTATAACTACCCTACTCTTCCTAACCTACTCTACCTACCCTACTCTACCTTCCCTACTCTACCTTCCCTACTCTACCTAACCTACTCTATCCTATGTCCTTCTCCTGGCTCTAAACTACCTCCCTGCCAATTTTCAGCTAAATCGGTTCAGCCGTTCTCGAGTTATAAGTGGTGTAACTAACACGACTTTCTTTTATATATATAGATTAGGAAACAAATGAAATCGCAAAATATTTTACGTTAGTTATAGAAGATTAATAATTCAAAGGACTTTTTTTAACTTCAACTAGGTACCTACCTTTACCCGCAAAACTTTTTACATATGTATAAGTGAATACTCTCCATAACAGAAAGAAGAAAGTTAAGTGGTAAGTACTATAATTCTTGTTCGCCAAATGTGGGTTCTACCATACGACCATACCAATGACATTAGCCGTCGGGACGTGACCGGTCGGCAATAAATCTGGCGTATGACTCGAACGTGACCCCATAAAACTGAGTCAAGTAAAGAAGAATGGTACCAATTTAAAATTAAACCTTCTTCGTCCTTGTGAGGTTTGAAAAAAGAATACGTTAAGTAAGTAGTGCCCGTATAGTCAAATTGAACTCTTTTATAGAAATGTCAAAAACGATGCTTCTTATCGACGTATTTTCTTAGAAATCGCATCAAAGCCTAACATCAAAGCATAACTGGTAACACGACAAATTCCATACTTTTTTCTAAATATTAGTAATAATAAGAATGAATTAAATTTATCGTGAAATTAAAAATTAAAGTGCGATACGACTTTTCTGTTAAATTAAATAGGTACCATTGAAGTTATTTATTTTATATCGATGAAACTACCCAGTTTTAGGTAAGGTAGTGATGATGTTGGTGTTATGGCGAGGTTTTTAACATTTCAAAGGTACCATATGGCTAAGTTAAAGTAAATGTTTTTGATTTTGACTTTTACAGCACGAAGCACCATTTTTAACCCCTGACACAGGTCGATAAAAATTTTGAATTAAAAAATAATGTCAGACCAATATTTCAGCGATGCTAAATGAAAAAATAATTCATGTGACATTTTTGTGACCATAAAGTTATTAATATCTAAGTAAAGTCTAATTCTTACCTTTAAAAAGTGGCACCAGCCTCCCCCAGCAGGTGATGGCGCCCTTCCGATGAAACTGGCCCAGCGCCAGCTCCATGTAGAACAACGGGATACCCCCCACCACCAGCATGATGCAGTATGGCACCAGAAAAGCGCCTGGTGTTAAAAAATATGTATTTGGTATTTTTTGGAAATATTCGTACCTAACTTTTTAGACTTCAGTTTTTGCGTACCACGCATAAGTAACAAGTTTTATTAAAATCGGTATGTAGTTAAGTATTACCTATAATGATTTTTTACTTATAAAGAAGTTGATATGAAAACCCCCGCCGCGTTATCGCTTTTACTCGTAACTCAAATTTATTTCTAAAACTTTAATACGCCTAAACAGAATATAAAATTTTTGTTATTCAAAATAATGATAAAAACAGAAACAGTACTAATTATGCCTACATTGTATGTAGGTATAGTTAGTACTCTTGGTTGAGACATGGCCGTTAACTTTTCATTTCATATATTTTTAAAATGCATTAGGGTTTTTGACATGATTTGAATATCGAATTACAAAATTATATTAACCAAAAGTTACAAAAAGTATTTAATTTTAATTTTACATCAAAAACTTAGTTGTATTAAAACTTTTTACTGCCTTATAGAACCAAAAAAGTCTATTGTTTCACGAATCGCAACTGTTTCAATAATAACGTAAATTTTTCAGTCGATTGCCCCCGAAGAGTGCCATCGGAATCTGAGTCTTGGCAATACTGAAGCAATAATTTGATATCGGCCCCTAGGGAGAGGCGACGCAAATTGTCTTGTAATTGGCCTTTTAAGGCTTTCGCATTTGCTGCCAATACGCTTTTATGAAACTTGAGATGTTCAGATTCCAGCTCATTTATGTTTAATTATACGTAGTACTTGAATGTACCTATGTGTTGGTAATGAAATAAATTAGCTGTTATAGGTAGAGCGTTCTGATCTTTAATAGCTTAGAATCCTACCTACTATTATAAAAACCACAGATAAAAACTACCTATAAAAGTTTGTGAGAATGTATGAATGTAAGTTTGTTATTCTTTCACGCCAAAACGGCTGAATGTGGTCGGTATGTAAATAGTTTACATATCCTGAATAGGCTAGGCTCCTAAAACATAGGCTGCCTCTTTATCAACATACCACGTGGACGAAGCCGCGTTTGGAAGTTAGTTCGAAATAATTTCGTAACTTTGCTATCGTTTAAATTACATTATTCTTGATATTTTACGGTCAAATTAATAGAGATTTGTACTCAGTTCACATAAGTAAACTCTTTAAAAGCTTTGACAGTCATCCATATTATTATATGCATATGAGCTAAGTGTAGAATTCCGCTAGAAAATGCATTAGGGTTTCTTCGAAATAGATCCACAAAGAGGTCAGTAAAAGGATGAACAAAGTCTTGCACGAGTGACGACGCACGGCTTCCAAGTAAACAATAATGAATAACGACGACAATTGCTAAATTACTAACATCCGACATCGTTACACTATAATTGAATATTAAGAGGGATCCCACACAAACACAATCTTAGCGCTTCTATGTTAGCTGAAAATGCAAAAATTAGTCGTACTTAATACGACTGGTTATGATTGATTATAATATGGAGAACATACTTTGTTTTCTAGAGCGTGTTTTGAATTAAGTATTAGTTTGCTTTTAAAAACTTTACTCATTCACACTAATGTCATTCCTCATCATTCTGACAGGATTCCTCTTCTTTGACAACACGGGATACGTATTTAGACCATTCGGTAGGCGTAATTTTTTGAATGCCTTTCTGAAACTGATTCACTCATTGTTTATCGATTTTTGTGTTCATCACTAAACTGTTACATGTGGTATCATTATTTTACAAAATGGCAGAAGGTCAAGTCAAATCAGGAATCGAATTAAAATTCTGACTATACGTAATCACTGTTACATAATACGTGATTCTGAACTTCGTCGACAACATTTTTTGCGTAAAGTAAAAAGCATTTCTTGCTTCTTCAAATTTTTAACAAATACACACTGAAGATTGAACTTTTCCGTCGTCTCTTTACATTCTTCACACATGTTATTTTAAATCACGCCTCGTTTTAATTTTGTTTTTTTAATTTTGAATTTCGAATATATTCCAAAGACAATGCAAGTCGAAAAGAAGAAAGATGCCCATACCAGTAATAAGTACGTGCACAGAGCAACGCGTCTTACTGTCTTACCACCTCTTTGTGGGTGGCAGGGGGAAATATGGCAAGGATTTACTTTATTGCCGGATGCAACAGGTCGCGGATAAGAGGGGAATGGAGGACATTCCGACCGAAGTTTCTATAAGTCGACGACGACGGGGAGAAGTGGCTTCAGAGAATGTTCCGTGTCTCTTAAGTGAGGGGATAATGGGGCTTTTATGGAATAGTGCGGCTTTATGCCATGATAGGGTGATTTAATTTTAACTGTTGCGCTGCAAGAGTAAGGAAATATTTTAGATAGGTATTTATGTGCCTTCTAAGGCTATTCTTCTTTTAAGTTTCTAAGATTTCTTGTTATTTTCTTTGTTTTGAAAAACTTAACATACATGTTGAAACCTCAACATGTGTGTAAAATTGGTCCCTAAATCCATAAACTATAAAACAGCTTTAAAAACCTAAAGGCTTCACCGCTACATTATTCTGTGATATTAACCGTTCAAATAATTGTAAAAAAGCCTGTACGTGGGTAGGTGTGGTACTACCCTTTGAAATCGCAACAATGAAAAAACGTAATCGGCTCACGGCTTATTTAATTTAGAGTTACATTTTCTTCGAATCTGTTACGATGGTAAGGTGCGTAATCGAATCGCCTTAGTTCCGACAGAGGTCCCCGCGGACCGAAGCCCGGATGATTGGGTATTACGAGATTACCGCCGAACGCCGATACAGCTCCATTAAATCATCTACACCATAAGCTCTTATTGTTTCCAACTGAAATTTTGATTTATAGACGGCTACTGTGATTTCTATTAAGTGTTAACTATTCTATTAGGATTTATTGAAGTCTTATAAAGATTAGAAACAAGACAATCCTATCCTAGAAATATGTCATAAGTTTTTGAAACAGTATTTTTAAATGTTTCCTTTTTCTCTAAAATCCTACATCACGCAATCGAAATTCATATTTAGAAAGCATGGAAGCAAAATGTCAGTATTTTTTTATTAATATAGGTATGGTTAAGTGCCCACATACACTTAGTAGAAATATCTAAAATACGATAAAAGAAAGAAGCTTGGTTATGGGTAGCGAAGTGTAGTATAGTGTATCTGTGTATGTGTGTGTGTGTGTGTAGTGTAAATATTACAAAAAGAAAATAGGATACAAATTTAATGAATAACGATACGACGAAAAAAGTTTTTAGGTTAGGTTAGCGTAACAATCAAACAAAGCAATAAGCTATAATGTCATATCGTAAAATTATTACAGTGTTGGAGGAAGTATACTTGTACAGCTGACGTTAGAAATGATGGATGGCAAGGGTCACATGATGAAGTAGTGCCCCAATCAATTAGTACGGAACCACTGCTATGACCGAACGTTGCCATAAATCAGGCTCGGAAGGGTTAGTTAGCTCGGCTGAGAAATAGTGTAGGTGGGCAAATAGTATCGTAGTTGCTCTGTTAATAGATGTTTTCAATTTCAAGGGAATAGTCATTCATCTTAAGGCTGTTACATGACTGTAATGTTAAAAGTAATGTTACGTAGGTAAGTGTGGGAGATCCATAATTCGGCACCAATAAGGTCGTTCAGAGTGATATCACGGCGTCAAAAAACCACAGCATTGTGTTTCGCCGTGTGAGTAAGGTTATCGGAGGCCCAATAATGTTCCTCGCCTCATATACCCCCAAGAGGCTGGTAACGCACTTATACTCCTCTAGAGTTCCGGGTGTACCTACATGGGCACCGCAGATTGTTTAACATTAGGTAATAAGTATGCTCGACTGCCGACTTATTTCTTAAAAACAACATTGCAAGGGTTCAGATAAGAACTCTTTGTGCGATCCTCAACGACACAGGAAAAAACAAAGGGAGGGCAACGTTTTATTAAAAAAAAGACCACCTAGACAGGTCTGCATCCATTTACAATATCTCATCGGGCGTTCTAAATAAATTTCCTCTTAGCTCGGCCGGCTCAAAGACAAGATCACATTTCAACAGTTCACGAGAATTGCCATTTAATTAGATCATGGACAGACGCGGCCCGATCGGCCTTTGCGTTGCGAGACACGATGGAGGATGACCTCCCCTCTCCATTATCTTATTACCCTCTCCCATTATTACGTTACTAATTTTCCTGCACATCGAGGAGCTAACGAAGTTTTCCCGGCGTAAAGGGCGCGTTTTGATTGTCAATTACTGACTCTTGGACGGCAAAGGGTGGCGACGGACGATCAAAGCAGCATCGGCAGCGCCGGCAACGGATGCAATTAACTATGTGGCAGAAACTTTGTTATAAGCGACCGGGTTTTCAATATGTTCTCCATCGTTTTAGAATAAGGTCAGCGTGTCTTTTGTTTTCAGTAGCAATTTTACAGAAGTGTGGAAGAGCTATGCTTTGGCAGAAGTGGCTTCACAGAGTACTGGCATGAAATTACAGTTACGTTGTGTTTCGATGTGTAAGTGAGGTTACCAGGCCAATCCCCTTTGCATCACCAAGCTTAAATTCCTTACAATAGGTACTTCATTGGTGCTATGAGTCTCTTAAGTCTAATCGTTTGCCGACCTAAGTATCCCATAAAACATGTTATTTATCGACTTCTATGTACCTACCAACCTATAACTTGATCATTTTACATGCAATACGCAATATTATATATATACTAAGTAATTGGAATTTCTCCAAATCCTAATTCGTTTAACTAAGATTTGATTGCATTCAGAAAAATATAAGACTAAGAAATCGATGTTAATCAATTTTAATGACGTGCCTAATTTCTCTAATCAATTGTAGTAAAATACTTTCCCAAAACAAACAAATACCAATAATATTTTAAAGGCACGCAAACATATCTCATTTGCTTGTTTCCGGGCCTTTGGCTGTCCGGCCTCTTGCTTGAGGCGTTTCATTTCCGCTACGGGGTACAGCAAAGACACGCAATCTACGGAATCTTCTAAAGCCCGGTCATATCGCGTCTTGTCATTTGCAGTGTTTTGTTTAAACAAAACCAACGTAGTTGTGTAGTTAGATATTGATCACGATCAAGAAGAAGTGTGTATCATCACATATGTACATACACGAGTACCTTATTAAAAGTTGCATGATTTTGGCTGATCTGAAGAAGGGCTTTTTGTAGCAGCGAAACTATGGTGAGAAGTAAATTTATTACTGAACCGTGTATAAATGGACAGTTACTTGGCATTAAAAGACATTCCATCATTACTTGAATTATTACTTACTAAAGATTTTGTTCTGAAAAGGATAGCAAAGAATTGAGTTAAGCAATGTTTAAAGACCTCAAAAATAAAAACATTTAAATTAACACGATTCCGTATTACTTCTTGGAAATAGGCCAAAAATAGAACAATAGCTTCTATTTTCAAATTAAGCACTTTTCTCAGACTAGTCAATACAGTCTATGGGTACATAGTTGAGTGTATAACACTATTACATGAACACTTGACTTGCGCACTAGCGAATGTGAAGCCTTCAATTAGCAAGCCGCAGGTGTAAGCGTAGTGCAGGCCACTCGAGGCGAATGAGGCGAGGCGAGGCACAAGGCGTACGATTGTTAACCGCCTATTATGCCTCGAGTGTCCTACAGTCGGCGTTAGCGCGCCATCACACAGTAAGATTTGAATGAATCATTTTGAACTGTATTGGACATTCCTAGTTTCGAGCAACGTTTTCTTTTACATTTTTAGATGGGAATGAGTAAAGATTTTAATATAAAATTCACTGTATGAGCAAGTACTTATACTAATGCAATTTACTTAGGTACATGCGGAATAATTAATTACTTGTTTATCAATTATTTTATTATTATTTATCGCCTGTATTCAAGAAAGATTAGTGTTTGACTAGCTAAGCCTCACAAAACCTTTGCAAGAGTTTGACTTTGTTTTATGTATTTAGTTAAAAGATTCCAATTCCTCTTCTCGTCATGTACTTAAATGGAAAAGTTCCAAGCTACCCATTTCACTCATTATTAGGTACTTGGATTCTACAAAATAAATAGGAATTGCTCATCATCCAGTATGCAGTGCATGTTTATGACGTGACGGAAGCCGTCGGCGTCGTCGAGACAAGAGGGGCACAATTAGCGACGCAAGAGCCACTTAGTGCCATTCAAGTCACAACCGCGCCACTCTAGACACTGACACCGCGTGTTCGAGCTAGTCTAGAATGGATAATTAGGCTAATTGATTATGTGGCTGCAGCCAAAATCGAGCTTGTGTGCAGGTACCAATTGTTTGTAAGATTTCATAGCGTTGTTAGGACGACAATATCTGAATTGAATAACTTCTTTTTACTATGTTTTCACTATATCCGTTCTACTTCCACATGTATTGTTAATGATTTCATTACCCATTTATTCTATTCCCCTTAAATCTTCAGTTGTTCCACAAGGACAAATCAAACCCTTGAGAACAGAACGCATTCATTATTACATAAAACCGGCTAAATCCTCTAGTGTTCTGATGTGACCGATTATCATCAGGCCAATAAAAAACAAATAAGAAAGTACTTACCGCCGCCATTCTTGTAGCAGAGGTAAGGGAAGCGCCACACGTTGGCGAGGTCGACGGCGAACCCGATGACGGACAGCAGGAAGTCCACCTTCTTGCCCCATGTCTCGCGCTCGCCGACGCCCGGCGTAGGCGTCTTCAGCGCCATCCTACTGCCCAACAACGGGAATCCGACACACCCTGCAACCAAATTATCATGTACAACCTTTTCTAAATAAGAGCTTATGATGAGATAAGCAGATTTTCTGATAGTTGTGCAATGATTGTTAGTTTCAAAGGGAGGGTTTAGTCATTCCTTTTGCTTTTCCTTTTTTAATAACTATAATGTAAAAAAACGAAAGTGACAATTTATTGGGCCGGAATTTTCCTCTTGCAAGATTGACAAACAATGACCCCGCGAACTCAGGAATATTTTGTACAGCTACAATTAGTGTTATGATGGTTTTCATTTCCTACGACCAAATGTAAGTCACGTGTAACTTTGTTTATAAATATATTTATCCAACGGATAACTGTTCCGTAATACTCAACCGCAATTCTTATAAATCAAAACCCAAACACGTGAAAACAACAAGCGGGCCAAACTACACCACTTGACCTTTTATTTGAGTGTTAATTAACTGGTCAGAAATACCGCGAGAGCGTGGCCCTCCATTACGCCGGGACATAATGAAGTGACAAATGTTATGACGCGCCGCGTGACAGAGGGCGCCACTTCACACGGCACGCTGACCGCTGACCACGCGGGTTTGTCATAGGGCTGACGCGACTTTATTTTAACTTCAGCGCAGTGATTTCATTCCTCTACTTCGTCTGCTTATTGAGTCTACTCCAGTATTTGGAGTCATACATTTTTAACGCTAATTTACTATCTCGAATCCCGATCGGTAAGATGTCATTCGCCAAATTGTAAAAATAAAACAGTATGTAACAAAATTTTTCAGTTTAATTGAAAGCAATACTCAACTTTCTTCGGTATACCTACACTTGTTACTATCGACCTAAGACATCTATTTGTTGCCTACCTAACTAAATGATAGTTCTAAATTGGCATGGTCGGTGCTGACATTGCATAATTTATTTAATGCAAAATTTTTGTGTAAATGTTGGTTGTGCCAACCCTACAGTAAGCTCTCTATCCGGCATTCCCGAGTGCCTGTCACGTCCAGCTAGAGGCGCTCCGATTAACCGAATGGTCGATTTAGCAACGAAAAACCATACGTCATAGCTACAGCGCACCACTAGTCGACAAATTGAATTTTGAACACGACAGATATTCATTGCGATGTTTTCAAGTAGAGCAGATACGGATGCAGTTTTTTTAAGTGAAATATGTGTTAATCCAATTTTGTTTATAATTTTCAGATTATTATTATGGTTTGTTGCATAACTGGAAGTAAAAAAAAATGAAAAAATATATCTTAATAAAGCTCACAAGTCGTTTTACGATAAGAGGTAACCGTCGCCTTAGTTTACTTATAACTTCTTCCTTCTCCTTAGTTTACTTTTTACTTATAACTTTCTTTTTATATTTCTCAGATTAAATATTAGTGTTACACTGTTCTCATATAATTGAACCAACTGTTTGTAAAAGGAATCTGTATGTGAAACTGATTTAAAAAGAGTAACAATGGAGTTTCTTGCTCGTTCTTCTCCATCGGAATCTACACTTTGGAATGAGCAAATAGCTTCACTAAGAGGACTGACCGACAGAGTCAGTCTGTCGGTCAGTCCTCTGACCTACTGACTGTACCAAAAATTTGTTTAACGTTCAAAAGTGCCGGTAAGGGTCTAATCGGAATAAATGATTTTTGAATTTTTTTGACTAGATATCTGGTTATTATAATGGGTAGCCAATAGTAAAGAAAATTATTTTAAATACACTATTATTTCCGGAGACCCTTTCTGTTCGAAAACGATAGCCTAACACAATTTGCTGAAAGAATTTCTGACATACAGATCTAAACGGAAAAATGGCGGAGACTTAATATAAGACCTGGTAAAAAACTAGAGAATATTTTTTGACGGGGGAAATCAACAAATTACTTCGCTTGTCCTTGTGGTGGGGCACGAGACAGTGTCGGTCTCATACGGACTAAGAACCACCCAGTAAAAAAAGGCCTTGGAGGTTTGACTGAAAACAGCTCACTATGCGGCGCGACTCACATACACACTTTTTGAAAGGCTTTTACGATTATATAATTATGATGCTATACATGAATTTTTCTTTAGTCAACTTTAAGTTAAGTAAGTTACAAAATCAGACATTACAGGTTTATCCTAAAGGAAATCGAGTACAAACGCGTTTATAGCCTTGCAAATATCTCGGCCAGCATAAGCGCTGGTCTTCGGACAGTTTGCAAATGTAGCTCGCCACCTGATAAGAACTAGACCCGATCGTATGGCGCGTAGCGTTCTTTACGCGCCTCAATGAGCCAGTAGACCAATGCAGATGCTCATGTTTAGCCAGGGTTGCGGCTTAAACGGAATAATGTACCACGGCTCCGGCCTGGAGCAGGAAAAAGCACGGAGTGGGTTTTATTCACTAAGAGTCGGCCCACTTAGGGCGAGAAGAGGATCATTTGATGATTCACCCCCCCTTTTTTTGGCAGGGGAAAATCAACAAATGACCTCTCCCGCCTAGGGTAAGGAGTTTAAAACTCCCCCGTTCCTTCTCCTGCTCTAGGCCGAGGCCACGGTGACTCATTGCGGTGACGGGTTGATGACGGATTTGATGTTCAGCCAGAGTTGGATGAACATCAGCCCTATGGGGCCCCGTCTATAGTGGTCTATTGGTTCTTTATGGCACGCGCGGAACGCTACGTGCCGTCGGCTCGGGTCTGGATCTGGGCGGCGAGCAGCCCTTACTCGCCGTCCGCAGACCCGCGCTTACGGTGGCTGATTATTATGTCGAACGAGAGTTGAGTAAACCTCCTTTTACATAATCCATGCAGAAACTGCACACGCGTTAGATAAGAATTAAAAGAGTAATCGATCTAATATTTACGAAGCAACTGTTCTTTAATTTTATAAGTAACTAATTACTTGAGCTACCCGAATTTAGAAGTACTTTAAATTCAAGTGTGGTTTCCCATTTTGTTCTGTTTGCAATTGGGGACATTTTCTTTATTAGGGGTAATCGTCGCATTTCTTAAAAACCTTCCGGTTCCCTCTACTACTTCAGAACAGGCTAGGGCTGCGGTTACGGCCGCAGTAAAGTATTGCGTTTAACCCGCAACCCTGGTTGATACAGTGCGTGTCTTAGACATACTTAGAAAACAGGTTATTAATACGTAGCTTCCTGTTAGCGGATTCGTACGTCTATTTGCCACTACATAAAATTTTGACTTCTTTCCTCAACATTTGTAGGTACTTTATATTGAACTGTAATTCTTGTTTGTTTACCTTTTTGGGACTATCCTATTATTATTGGTCCTGGCACAATGAAAACAGGAAACACTAAAGTCCGGCGCGGCCCAGAGAAATCAATGACTGTTTTAGATCCCGCAACAAATTAAATAACAAGGTATTATCTGATCACAAGAAATATATTTTTTTATTGGTAACTGAGCTTATTTGTGACTATGTGTATTGGTAATTTCCGAATGTTATCAAATTCATGTCGTCTATATGCTTATGGGGTATCCTATCCTATTTCGGACATACAAGGCACAGAGACGCTGAAGGTTTGGAAAAACTGTCGTTATGAGTACCGAAAGCCAGACGATCCTCTGATATGGGTAACTAATTTTAAACAGAGCACATTCACATGTATGTTTTAGTTCAACATTAAATAGGAAAACCGAATAAGTAGCTACGACCCTGGTGTGGGTTCGATTTCAGCACGGAATTTTGTCTTTCTTTATTCTCACTTTGTTCTTCCATTTCTAGATTTGATATATGCATTATATTATTATGTTAATTAACGTATTCATAACAGACTTCGATGCAGGCAAAAGCCTAAACTGTATATTAAAGTATCACGTTTCAAGTCTGAATTTCATGAAGGTGCACTCATTAAATGATAAGTAAAGAAAGAATTCTCCGCGAGTTATTTTAGAAATCCATGTAACAAAAACCAAATGACCGCCAGAATTTACACTACACACCGAATAATATTTCAGCAAATTTTTACTACAGACATTTTCGACAACCAAGGATTTTAAGAATAACGGCGACGCGCGAGTCGTCGGACGTCACGCAATGGTGCATATAATGCCTTGAAATTAATCAACTTCTAAGTTACAAAAAATATATCCAAAATCTGGCAAGTACCAATGTAACTTTTTCCGAGTTGTAATACATACGTTCTATGATTATTGATGATTACTGACATACGGTGCGGTGAACGAAAACGTCGTTAGGAAACTTGGACTTATATTTTCTTATTATAAGTTCGAAACCGCCAATCCATCTTGAGCAAGCGTGGTGATTAATGGTTAATCTTTCTCCGTGTAAGAATAGGCCTTTGCCCAGCAGTGGGCACTTATAGGCTGATGATGACGAGTAGGTAATAATATGTTAAACTCATTCATTTATTTTCTTAATTTAGATCAAAACGATTTTCTGTTCGTAAATCTCGCAAAACCTTGACAACGCCTGGGTCGATTTGGCTAATTTTGATACTATTCAAATATTATTGAAAGTCCATGATAGGTTTTAAATAAAAGAAAATGCAAGACAATTTTAAGATATTAATTTATTTTGAGACGGTAAATCTACTCCGTACTAGGTCAACTAATTCTCATTAATTTAATAAGTTGTACATGAGTCATAATCCCAAAGATTTCACTTAATTCGACTGCACGGTTGGCGCGGTGGCTTGGCAACCAACCGGCTGCAGCGCAAAGCGTCGCGGTTTGGTTCCCGCACGGAACAACTCATTGTGTGATCGATAAACTCTTGTTTCGGCTCTAGGTGTGATGTGTATGTGAAATTGTATTTGTAAAAAGACACACCAACGACACAGGAGAAAATCCTAGTGTAAAAATTATTCTTCTACCTGATTTTACATTATGTAAACTTGGTTAAAAAACCGCAGTGCACGGAAATTCTTGATGGCAGATTTAAAAGAAGGGGAACCGATGAACAATTAAAAAAAAAGTAATTACGATCATGTTTCGTAAAAAAACGAGAGGTGTTGGGTGAACGTCAAGAAATCAAAAAAAAATCCAAATAATCCTAATAAGAAACAGGGTCTTGGATAAACTTCAAAAAATAAACTTTCGAGCATAGTTGTGGAAAGCCGAACGTACCGACTGCTACGCCAACTATCGCAACATAAAAAAGTAGAAGATTTAAAATATTAAGGCCTTTTACATTTTCTTGAATAACCGAAAAAAATGAAAAGCATATCAAATACCAATAAAACCTGCCTTCTAAATTCAAATTAAGGAATAATTATAACAAAAAAAAAGAAATGCCTTCTGAATTCAAAAGATGGAATAAATTTAACAAAAAAAAAACAGAAATATAAGGCGTGTTACTTACTTGCGTGTCGGCGGTCGCATTGCCGGCGCCATGTCCGCGCGGCGCCGTGCCTTGGCCAGAGTGACGGCGAAGCGTTGCTTTTGACGACATTGGGCGTGAACCGGGACCAAGCCACGCCCAGGATCAAGTCTGCTTAGTATTAAAAGAGACTTATTGAGCCTGAAACTAGGGCAACCGTCTTTACTTACAATCTTTAGGAATATCTTTCAAAATAGTTTCTAGAAAATACTACACAGTTCTTATTACCTTTTTTATTACCTTATGTGAAGGGACGGTAAATGAGCAGACCGATTACCTGATGGTAAGCAATCAGTGCCGCACATGGACACCCGCAATAACAGTGGAATTACGAGTGTGTTGGAACCTTTTTGGGGATTGGGGATTTGGAGATTTCGGGATTGAGAAGAAATTTGGGGATGCGAAGGATTTGGCCTCCGATAACCTCACTGTAACACTCACATGGCGAAACACAACGCTGTGGTTGATCAACGCCAGTTTTTTGTGAGGCCGTGGTGTCACTCCGAGTCAAACTGAATCATTCTTGCCGAAGCATGACTCTTCCACACTTAAACCTATCTTTCGTTTCCACAACGTAAAGAATTCTGGAATTTATAATTTCTAATTCTAAGTTTGAAATCACTATTCATTAATGACTATTCCTCCTCCGTGAGACAAGATGCCTTTACTCAGATTCAGGCTCTTATAGGCTAGGGATTTGTGTGATGTGTGGCTTTGTAACCTTGATCGAGCGATCAATATTAACGATTCTGCAGTTATGTATAGTAAAATATGCGTACACACGCAAACACTAACACCCGGTTTCTGAAAGGCTTGTCAACGCTAAAATTAACTAATCCCCTGTTAAATCTCTTGTCAAGTCATCTGATTGGTTGTTGATAATTCAGTCAACCAATCAGATGACTTGACAAGAGATTAAATTGATTTTAACATTGATCGGCCTTTCGGAAACCGGGTGTAAGTGTGATACTATGATGTTGGCAAGCCATACTTCTTACGAGACAAGTAAGCACTGTGTGGATTTTAGTCAGTAAGAGTCCGTCGGACTCCGTCTCACCTCACAATGAGAGAAGACATTTGATTAATATACCACCTCAAAAAAAAAAATTTCGTCCTTATAAATTTTGTCTATACTCGCGAGGCTTTTTAAGTGTAAGTATATTTATTTTCTTATTCTACTACGGGAAATCTTAATACCATTTTCTACCAGTTTAATGTCAAAATAGCAAAAACAAAGCAACTTTTAGCCAACAAAATCAAGCAGAAGAAATTATATAATTTGCACGATGTACATAAATGAGAAAATATTATATTTGACGACCGTACAATTATTAAGCAATTGCGTACCGTCCCTTAATCACATTTACTTACACAGTGACATAATATAGTCAACTTTCTTTTTGTGTAAATTCAATGCAAGTAATCAATTAGTGTTGGGCGGGCCGCCCTGCTTAACAGGGGGCGGGGATTGTAAAGCCACGCCTTACTAGATTCACGCCCACCCATTTCAATCGTGGCTTTTCCATCTATACGAATGCTTCTAAGTATTTTAGAAAAAAGTTTTTATATGTTGTACGTTCGTTAGCCGTATTTTCTACTATTTTATATGTATTTTACTGCTTCAATAAAGCCTTGAGAGACTAATTATTTCAGTAACTATATGTAAATATGTGCATGTAAAATCTGTAAAGTACTTCAAATGTTTTAACAATTTCATTCGTTAAGGCCTTTATTTTATGTCAATAAGCATTTAATAAAGTTATAAACTCTAACTTCAACGCTTGATTATGGACGAATTAAGGACTAATTAATTCTAGAATATAAAATATCTAATCTATAAATATCTTATTAGACCGTCGATAGCCCAAAATCGCACCTTGTTTTTTTGAATACTTATTTTTTAAAAAGCTACTAATAAAGTATTATGTGCTTTAAAGCGTAGGTATTGAGACACAAACTTATTGTATAAATTAGGCATCTGTGTACTCACCTATGTAGACGTGTAGCCGTTCATTAGGACGCGTAAAGCGACCGCCGTCGGGATATGAAATTCAGATTCTTCTTGAAATTCAGCGACCAAAACGATTTTCCTCAAATCACAGCAATACACTCTTGAAGTGAACTGCTTCACAGGTATATCCTAGTTGATATTTCTTTACTTTTAGATTTTATGACCTTATTTTAATTAAGTGTTATTTGGGTGAAAAAGGTTAACACAAAATTGATAGGTAATTTTTAATAATTAATTATAATAATTTCAATACACAAATTCTTGATACAAAACACTATGTTCACGGCGCGTGCCGTGAACTACAGGGTAGCAAACCAAGATAAAGACTACGGCGTAGTTCGACGCGTTCGCCTACGCACTGAATCTACAAATCGTAGCGGACCATGAGCCGACGAGACTACGGCGTAGTACGACGCCTACGCAACCCGACGTATTTAGGCGGAGTCAAAGTATGACTAGGTACTTAAGTACCAAAAGTTCTTTATTATTCAGTCTCTGAAAAGTATGTTTGGAGTGCCATTTGTTTGTGAATGAAGGTTGTCAGTTGATGTTTTTTGAGCAGTTACGGTGGCCGTGATGTTGACGTTGATTCTTTGTGTGATCGATTGGTACTCCGAGTGTAGGTGTGATTTGTATGTTTGTCACGCCATGACATACATTACCAATGCTAATCTCAGCATTTATTAAAAAAAACACACAAATCGGTGGAAATTTACCAGAACTGTACAGTTAAAGTAAATCCTGTGTGGTTTTTATCGATTAATCGTGTTATTTAGCGTTTTAGATAAAAGAACGGGGTTGTTTTGAAGTCAGTAAGAGTTTGACACTCAATGTCGCCCAACTCAGGGCTTTTTTTGACGAGAGGACATCTTCAACGTCTCCTCTAGACCTGAGTGAGTAGAGAGCGAATTTCAGACTCTTACTAACTAAAAACAATCCTATTCTTTCTCCTGCTTCGGGCGGGGGTCGAAGAACGTTATTGCGATTACTTAACTTTCAAACTTTCGCATTTCATGTTTACGACATTTAAACGACGACATGAAATCATATAATTATGTAGGCTTGACGTTTCGACCTGGACGTAGTCGCACAGGACGTGGTCGCAAGCAGACTGAAGATACGATGTCACAGGTGAATTTTTATGACAATGAATTTTTATCTATCTCCGTATTTTCCTTTTCTACCATATTAAGCCATCTACACACTACGCTGACCGTATCCACAGATTTGTTAACCGGTTTTTATTTGAATTAATGGGGTTGTTTTAAAAGTCAGTAAGAGTTTGATACGCCATGCCGCCCAAATCAGGGCTTTTTTGACGGGAGGACATGTTCAACGTCTTCTTAAACTTTTGCATTTCATGTTTACGACATATAATTATATGGGTAACGCGAACAATAATTACTTATTTAAAAACCTTGGTAGGCTTGACGTTTCAACATGGTTGCATAGGACGTGGTCGCAAGCAGACTGAAGATACGATGTCACAGCTCCCTGCATTCGGGCGATGAATTTTTATCTATCCCCATAATTTCCTTTTCTACTACATTAAGCCATCTACACACTACGCTGACCGTATCCACAGATGTGTTAACCGACTTTGAAGGAAAGCGAGGTTGTTTTATGCGAATCACTTAATTCCACGTCGATGACAATTTAAAGCCGTCCTCCCGATTGAAATTATTTGGGCATTTCTTTACTTCAACCGCTTCACGCACAAGTCTTGTATGGTAGTGGCGATCAGTGGAGAGAATTTGCGGTCGGTGGAATTCTATATATCGAGTGATTAGAACCAGCCTGGAGCAGGTGTTCTGCTATCACTGATTTGTTGCTCTGCCGAACCATATCGGTGTTGTCATGTATGAGGAGTTCTTTGAAGTTCACACTGAACACGACGTGCCTAACCGTCCAGTCTGGTTGTAGTCGTGCGATTATACCCTCGCTCACCGTCGGAAGGCCCGGTATCTGGAGTGCGAGGGGGATAACTCTGTCACACGTCCTGCCTCGGATATGACAACTTTATATTTAGTAAGTTTGTAGTTAATGTAGATACTATCCTACTATTATTATAAACGTGAAGCTTTGTAAGTATGAATGGAATACAGATAGTACTTTAACCTAAGTACATTTACTCTGGCAGTCACTGCGGGCGAAACCGCTGAAAGAATCTAGTGTAATAGAATGATAACAATAAAGACTTGGGATTAAAAACCAAAATGGAAACTGCTTGAAAAGGGCACAGGTACGATTCGAAAAGAGTACGAGTGAGAATATTAAACTTTAGAATAATTTATAGAGTAAGTGCGCCAATTATGGACCTTTTGAAATAAAACTCAGAATAATAAAGATAATTCAAATAAAAAGAATTTTTAGAATTCTTGATAAACAAGATAAGCTTAGAAATATTCAACATTTTCTAAAATCTGACATTATTATGTATCTGCAAAAATTGTACAAAATATGGACCACATGGTTTCAAATATGGACCACAGCAAAATGGATTCAAAATGATAAAAAAAATTACTTGTTGCCTAAAATTAAATCATACAATTTACTATACAATACAAACATCATTTTGGGAACGAACAGGACTATCATCTGAATTATCACCATGATCAGAACTCGAAGAAAACTTTCTTTCTTTTTTTTGGACTGTTTTATTCTGTATTTTCATTTGTAATTTTCTTTGGCTTTTTTGCGCTCTCTTTGGCGTGTTCTTTGCAAGTCTGTCTGTAACGTCACTTAGTGGTTGGTCTTCTTGATAAGCGTATAAGCTTTGTTTTGGGTACACCGTATGTTTCGGATGCTTTTAAAAGACCCATTTGCTTATCATTATAGCTTAATTGCAATTGCCATTGCACGTGATTGTCTGGTCTTTCCCTTAGTTTTAGAATATGTAGATGCTATCCTAAAACAATTAAATTAAAATATAGGTACCTAAATAACTATTTGTAATATGGACCACTAGTCCATATTCAAAACATGCCGGTGGTCCATATTACAATACACATACATTTCCTGGTTAATATTGTTGCTAAAAAAACTACAAAAACGATTGGGTATTGATAGTTAATAAGAATAAATGTATAATAACTCACCTTTCTCCTAGATTAAGTCACTTTCCCAATCAGTAATATTCGCTTAAATTATGAACTTACGAAGTTAGGTAAAAAATTACATCGCGACTTGATGAAAATCAAAAATGGCTGCCGTGAATATGTGCGAGGTCTCTGCCGACCAGCAATCAAACAGCGGGCCCTGGGAGGGCTGGAGCTAAGCGCGCGGTGACCGATAGTTTGATACGACCGACGGTTTTTAAGAAACGAAGGTAGTCCATATTACGGACCCAGTCCATATTTGGCGCACTTACTCTAAGTAGGAATCGGGGTCAAAAACTACTACTAGTAGTACAGATAAAATTTGGATTTATTTTTTTATTCCTAGTCAAGCGGCCCGCGAAAAACGATGAAAGGTATTCCGCAAATTTCCCTCTACTTTTCAAAAATATCTTTCATAAAGGGCATATCAAACACAACAAAAATTAGTTGGCAAAATTGGTCTAAACGTTGTTGAGTTATGCACGTTTACCAACTGCACTTTGTGTGATCCGCAAATTGTTGTTCCGGGTCTGGGTGTGATGACACACACCCACGACACAGAAGAAAATTCAAGTGTGGGGCAAAGATTTTGTACTTATGTAAAAAAAATAAAAAACACTATAATATTGTGGTTATTTCACGCCAATTTTTAGTGACGCCATGGTGGTACTCCGGTCGAGCTGGCTCATTTCTATGCAGCATGGCTTTCCTGCAATACGTAATGGGTAATTTAGACAAGATCGCTTAATAATAGGACATATGCAATTGCCGTTTTGCATGAAAAAATTTAAACGATTTTTTTTATTTGAAATGGGATGAAAATGTAACACTAATCAATAAACAAATGACTACTTTTGGAAAAAGAATCCCATGTTTTTAAAACAAAATTAATTAGCCTTAGCCTAACAAAAACTATTTTGATTTGAAATGGCCAGTACTGCAGAACGGCAATTTCATAGTTAATGCCTATTATTTATATACTACCCCAATTAGTTATAGCACTAGCTTTCACGCTTTCTCTATCCCTATATCCCTATGTTAAATCTTTACGCTTAAGACTTCAAAACTACGAAATGCATAAGGGTCAGACGACGACGTCTCTACTATTTCCGTCCAGACTTCTTTTAGAATTGATGCAGTTCGGTCGAGTGCTCGATTGAAAATATAATGATACACTGGGATCTTGTTATATTCGGACTTCTTGCAGAAGAGGAAGAGGAAGAAGTTCTCGTTCTCGTGCGCTTGCCAGTGGTAGACTGCGGGAGGACGCGGGCGGGGCCGCGCCGCGCAGCGCCGGCGGCTCGTAGATACGTTCCGCTGCGCCTCACCTCGCTGCGCAGCGAGGCGTCGTCCTGCTACGATTTTAAGATGCGCCTCGCGACGTTGCGATGCATCTCGCGACTACGCGCGACGCAGCGCGAAATCATTGGCTTCTTTGAGTATCGTCGCGTCGCTTCGCGTCTCGGTGTGAATTGACCCTTACGATGCCTTTTTTGTACCTACATACATAGAGTGATTGAATAGAAGGTTTATATGTATATTAATATCCACTAAAAAGTGGAGCAATTTACTATTAACATTGCACTCCTGCGAAGCTGGAGAGGCTAGTATTAGATAAATCTATAGGTACTAATATTACGAAGAGGTATTTGTAAGTTTGTAGGTAGGGGGTAAACTTTGGAACACCTGGTCGGATTTCCAAAATTCTTTCACTGATAGATAGTTACAATTTTCCTGAGTACTACAGGCTGGCCAAATCATTATATAGCTTTTCCAACAAATTGCAAGTCAAGAGGAAACTTAGCGTCAGGGAGTGTTAACCACAAAATGTGCAAAATGGCGTACCTAGTACAATTCATCGATCATCTATAATCCTACTAAGTTTCAAAAGTAGTGTGAAATAAATTTCAATTTGTCATCAAAGTTTATTGAAAAAAAAAACGACTTACTCACTTGAATGAACTGAAAACTTCTTAGTACCTAGTACCTATCTCAACAACGCTTGAACCATTTTTTTTATGAAAGATAATTTGTTTAAATAATGAGCTCAAATATTATAGTTTGTTAATAAATCATTATAAATATTAACATTTTAATCTTTTCGTCAGCTACAGATTACTAAACGTAGTGGTTACATACTCTTTGGAGATTACTAATGAACTATACAAAGATCGTCAACATTACGAAGTTTTAAATAAGGAATGAAAGTAAATTAAGAATTTAAAAAAGTATTCTATTCAGCCAGTAGGTACCTACCTACAAACTTTGCTCTGGCTGTTGATCGTTAGATCACATTATATATTAAGTAATTTTATTTTATGTGGAGCAGATTTATCATATGATGGTAAGCAATCGACGTCGTCCATAGACATGTGCAACACTAAAGTTAAATGCGTTGCCGGACTTTTAGAGATTGGACAGATTTGACCTCCACGTGTAAACTCTTTTACACGACAAAACAAAACTCTTTGTTCTCTGGACACCACATTTAGATGCTCGAAGGGTTTTAAATTTAACAAATATCTTATCACATAATAATGTGGCGGTTGAGTAACTGGCTGCTGCGCTATGGGTCGCGAGTTTCATTCCCACATAGAATTTATTTTATAGGATTACCTAGTTCGGCATACTAGCAGACGGATCTATGGTAACCAACCGGTGCCACTCGTGTAGGTACACTCGAAACACTTATACATTGTCTGCCTTTCGTGGGTTGTTAGGGATTTATGGATTAATGATATTTAGGGATTGAGGATTGATACTTCGGCAATCTCACTCAGGGAATAAATCTTAGTAAGTAGGTATAAGGCAATGTATTAAAAAAACAATTATTAAAATATTAAATATTAAAAACTCATCATTTTTCTCCAAAAAACAAATTTATTGAGTCTACGAATTAACAAACCTGATAAGTTAGTGAATTGCGAGACGCTTATGGCTAATAAAAATATTTTGTTACTACAAACACAGTAGACACAATATTCCATTTCATTGTGTGATGCGTAGAACATGGTATAATGTATATGTAATCTTCCTTCAGTAGCGCCATCTAGTTAACGAAGTCTTCCAAGGTTTTTAAGTTAAAATTATTTGATAGATGTTAGAGAGAAAAAAAATGCTTAAAGCTATTTTTTTTTTTTAATATTATAAAGGACAGTTTTAATATTTTCACTAAAAACACAAAAAATATATTTATATGGCAAACATTAATTTGAAGCTGTCAACTCTTGTAATCGGACTTACCTGTGAGACCGTGGTATGACCAAAAGCAATACAAGTACGCCAGACGAGATTTTATATCTACTATATGCAGGCTTCGATTCGGACATCATAGAACACCCGCACACCTTGCAAGACTCAAACTTGATGCAAATGACAAGTGCTTGAATTGTAACGTCTTATGTGACATTAGTCACATAGTGTTGGTATGCAGTGACTACAACATGCAAAGGTTGATTTTAGCCAGTGAACTAAGTGAAATTGTAGATAATGTTTCCTCCCGCCGCCTAGAAGATCTACTACGTGATCCAAAGTGTTTAGTGCCGTTATACAATTTCATTAAAAATACTCTGGAAAGTATATAATAACATAAAACCGAGTAAATTAAAAGACTTGGCTTAAAGGACTCGTATCCAGGCCATAAACTCCAAAAAAAAAAAAAAAAATGTCAATTCTTGTCGTTGATTGGATATTGCAACCCAATCATTTATGTCGAAGACCAATCGTAAAGCTACAAGCATTTGTCGGAAAAATGTCTTCGCAAGAGTAGACTTGTGCTCAATTCAACATTTTATAATCATTTAACCAAACGCAGTTGCACTCGCTGTAATAATAACGACATAACTTATTGTGTTTCCATAGTTCTGTTCAAAAGTGCTGCAGGTACGCCCAAGAATTAACTTTCTCTTTTCCCATGACAACTATTGGTAGCCCAGTGTTTTTTGTATTTTGTAAATAAAAACAAAGATGTGGAATAATAATATAGATTTACAAATGGTTACTGGTTTCGTAGATTAGGAGGAAAAGTGATATTGTTGACGTAGTCACCTTGGGGCTTATTGTTTGTATGTCAGCTGATTATCGAAACATTTGCGATGAAGAAATAGGAAAGTTGTGCCAAGCAAACTGAGCAGATTTTCATGTGGTATTTTTTGCTCAGATATGGCTGACGAGATGGATCCTTGCGAGTGCCTGTGGAATCATGAGCTGGCGATGCGTCGGCTTATCTCTCTGGTAAGTTTGTCCTTGTAATTACATGTTCAGCTATGGAAAATTATTATTTAAGTGGGTGGAACCGTGGAACGCGTAACATCCACGTCTACATTTTGCTCATAACGCGGCCTTATTCTAGTCCTTTTTTTGCTTATTAACACATTTTAATTAATCAATATTTTCATTACAGTGTTAGTAAACATTCACCCACATATTTGACCTACATAGCTAGGATTATAAAAAGTTGTTATAAAGAAAACATTAACATGTGGTACTTTATTGGCTCCCTGTATTGATAAACCACACTGTTTATTTGCTCAGCTAAAATAAAATAAATAATAGTCTTTCTTATGGTGTCATAATACTAAACTTTGCAATTAAGGTAAAGAATTTTAATTTACAAAATTGATAAGATGTCCATTAATACATATTAAATGTATTAATCAACAATCTCATGTATAAATTGTAATATTAATTATAATTACCTATACATAAATACACATTGTGATTTTTCAACGCTGATTTTATTGACAGTGGGTCCTTCATTTTCTAGTAATGCAAATGGTTTAAACAGATTCTGTTTTTCCTTTCCTTGAATACTCTTAACACTAAATGCTGTTACAAAACCAATTTCGGCAAATCTTCATTTCTGATTTTAAAAAAAAGGTTGAACAGAAAGGAATTATTGACAGGGTATCAGGGTACCAATTTATTTCTCTTATATAAAGTTCTTTACACAATCTTTCCATTTTTTTCTTTTTTTATTAATGCTGTTGCTAACATAACATACAAATCTAGATAACAAAGGTATGGCTTTAGCCACAACACTTTTCCATTAGACCTATTTAAGGAAAAATAAGGTTTTAATCAGTATTCTGACTGCATGATTGGCATAGTCACTGGGCAATTAGCCACTGTCCACAATTTACTCTTTCGTGGCTGGTTGGTTTGCATGTTTTGTAAACACACCCACGACACAGGAGAAAATCCTACAATGGAACAACATTTTTGTTGTACTATGTAAAGGCTTTGGCATTTTCTATTCCATTTTCACTTACTATCAGTAAATTTCCAAACTAATGAACCTCATTAGATAATGTGTTGCAACAAAGTAATTGTGTTTTAATTGAGTTATCAATTTGTTACATAAAAATCTGTTAATTTTGAATCAATTTAGCTACTATATCTGCTGGCATTTCAATCTATTCCAGCATATGTTCAGGAGACAATGTTTTCTAATGTTTAAATAATGTAAGCCAAAATTGAAAAAGGGTTTTTATTTGAGGAGGGAAAATCATCCAATAATATCCATCATCCATTCTATAGTATAGTATACTATAGGGAGTTACAGACTCTCACTGACTAAAACACCCCATTCCTTCTCATACTCCAAGCCGAGACCGTGGTATGTTATTGTCCTGGCCCTGCAAATTGAAAAAGGGTGACCACAACCATAGAGTTTCATACCCATTTCTGGAAATGAATTTCTATCTATAGGAATATACACTTTAGGACAAACAAATACTTTCACTTAGAGATCTACTAAACTGACAGACATTAAAATATTTTATTGTATGTTTATTTGGTTGTTATAATTAAATTTGTTGACTAAAATGTTGAAATAAGCTGTCATACATATTATGTCATTGGCATTGGTCAACACAATGATTGAGGAAAATTACAATAATTGCTATTTTTCCTTCCTCATAGTTGAAAACTGCATGTTACATTGATAGTTTTCAAAATTGGTGTACAAAGGGTAGTTATCTCTTAGATATTCAGATTCTGCCATATTCTCTCCTGGTGGTCTATGACAGCTTCACAAATTATTGCTTCACTTAAAGGATAACAACATTATATTGGTAAACAAATAAACAAACCTAACTGCTTATTCCAGTTATGAATGAAAAGTTGCAGTCTGTTTTGAAAACATTAGAAGTATGTTGCAAACATCCCTCCTAGTTGATGTAGGTTTATTGGCTTGATGTAGGTACTTCAATGGTTTTTGCAATTCATTCAAAATTAGAAAAGAAAGACAGTATGGCTGCCATTGTTTCTATTATTTCCGAGATCTAATATACTTTTATTTATTTATTTATTTGGGACAAAAAACAGTTATACATTACTTTTGTCTAATACCGACAGTTCTAGATTTGCCCTCATCACTCAACAGTTTTCTGTCAACACTCTCTTCTTCCCTATTTTAGCACTATCTATACCAATATTATTAAGAAGTAAATTTTGCAATTTGTAAGTTTGTATGTAATGGGGAATCGATTAGAACCGCCGGTCGGATTTCCAAAATTCTTCGCTGATATATAGCTACAATTTTCCTGAGTACTATAAGCTATAAAACTTCACTCTGCGGTCAAATGGAGCCGAGCACCGGGTGAAACCGCGCGAGAGTACTTAGATTTTATTAAAAAAAAATCATTACAGGTTTTTCAAATATTTATTGTAGAATTACCTTTCCTCGAAAATAACATTGTTTGGTAATGGAGCTGTTACTTTGTAAATATTCACAATTAGACCTAACTGGGTCCCTTATCGCGACTGATACGGCAATTAATTCATAACTATAATTGAATGCGATATTTTTATTGCCGTTCACAACTACTGCGCCTTATTTTTCTTGTTAAAAACGAAAACGATTAATTCAACTAATAAAACTAGTCTTCCGCAGTCCGCATTTTTTATTTTTATGGATTATAATTAATTAGGAACAGAATTGGGTAGTTTCCTAGGTCAAAAATAAATTAATTCGACGTTTTAATACGATAAAATATTGAAAAATAACTATACTTTTATTCATCGATCGATCGATACACTAAGTTTTAGATTATTTTTTGCTAATTTTTTAAAAATAAGTAATCTATTTGACGCAAAAATGCTTTGACGTCATAATTCAATGTTTCATACAATTTTCATAGAAAAGTATCGTTTTTGACATTTGGATAAAAGTATTGAATTTGACTAGTTGGAAACAACCGTATTATTCAAATAACTATGTAAATATGTGTAGTTATTGCAAAATTGAATGCAATAACACTACGTCAGATAGCCTATGATATTCTTTAAAAATAAAGAAAAAATCTGACACCTACTCGAGACATCTTTATTATACAAAATTTTAAAAGTTTATAATATTTGAAAAACTTTTAATGAAACAAAAAAAAACATTAATTAGTTGCTCGTTTACTTGTGTACACATATAGGAACAAAATTGTACAACAGCTTTGTTATGCTGTAGTTTTATCAACCTTCCTGTCCTAGGAAATATACAATGATTTGATTTTTACTATTATCTCATATAAGACTTGTTCTAAATGTTAAAACAAAACCTACATATAAAAAACCAGCTAATCTCGCGCGGTGCACCCGGTCACCCGCTGCTCTGCGCCATTTGATCGTAGCGTAATGTTTTATGGCCTATAGCACTCAGGAACATTGTAGCTATCTATCAGTGAAATAATTATGGAAATCCGACCAGCGGTTCTAAAGATTACCCGCTACATACATAATTATCCATTTAAAATTTTACCTCTTCAGAATACCTATTACTATAGACAACAATATTGTGCAGACTTTTCGATGATGATGTAAGTAGTTGGTGATTTTTTAGCACATAAGCTATACAGGCATATAAATATGTATAAAAATAATGATGAAGTATTTCTAGCTGTTCTCAAATTCAATAATCCACCTTGAGAACGTAATATAAAGAAATGACATGATACAATTATAATTATACATATTCTGAGCCAGACGTCTTATCCATTTCCGTAACTGTCCGGCGATGAACAACATGTACAAGCCACACCGCAGATACGATGACACGTGATATTAAAACACGTGTTTGATCTTCAGAGTTTTCAAACAATGCGTAATTGTCTCGCCTACATTGTAGATATTTTTGGTGTAGCAATGATTCATAGACTTATTTATTTACATTTCCGTCTGCTGCATCTTGGCGTTGAATTTAAAAAGTTATTCTAGAGAAAGGAATTGTCCTACTTATAATTGAAATGAAAAGTAGTTCTAGAATAATAATAAGTAAGCCTTACTATAAATATTATGTAGCTAATACACATACAAGAATTATGTTTACTAAAATATTACAAAGCTGTAGAGTTTGTCTAGAACTCCGGAAACAATTGTTTTTGTGGTCGGTAGTTCCATTTATCAAGGAAGGCTATAGGCTATAAAACATCACGCTAAGATCTGTAGGAGCCGAGCAGTGTAACCGCGAGAGAGTAGTTAGTCGTCTAATATAGGACGTGACTATTTTATTACATTTCTACGTAATCAAGAAACTATCATCGATTTAATCACGTTAAAGCGATGCTAATGAGTTGGGTGCTTCACTATTGAGAGCAATACATCTAACAGGGCCGCGATAACGTGATTACATGACAGATAAGATTGTTTAGCAATGTGTTCTAGTTACGAGCATGCGTGCAGCGTTTATGTGGGTACTTGTCGCTGTTTAGTACCCTCGATAATATGTAGTTTTCATTTCATTTGTCGATATAAAATGCTCTAAACAGTATTCGCACATACCTCGTACTGTACCTTTAAAACATATCTATAAGACAAAAGGTATGTTTCTGAAAACACGCTATGCCTGTCTCTCTTATGTTTTAAGTTGAGTCTATATATATATAGATCGTTACGGATAATATGCCTCACGCAGGCTTAAGAGTGTAATGTTATTGTAATAGTTTGCGAAAACAATTAACAGCGTGTGGAATAATAACTTTCTCAATGTTTTGGTATCTTATACATACATACACTTAACCCTACACTGATCCGTGTCGTGGATAGCCTAGGATAACCCACGACCTTCTTTAGGCGTTTATCGAACGCGAAAATACACAAAAAAACTTCATTTTGTTGTTGGTCACTGTTGATAGGAACTAAATTATAAAATGGTATAATTTTACTATTGTGAAAGTTTGTTATGTAGATTTTTATTTTTGTGGCTCTTTCACGCAAAAACTGTTTAGTGCAAAAATTGATTATACTTTAGATAAAGAAGTTGGCAAATGCTAGAAAAACAAATAAATATACCTACTGTCATTACCTTCGCTCGTGTAGTTGTCCGATTTAATTAATGTATAATTTCAGTTTGCAAACACTCGTAAATAAATGCGTTGCGCACCTGTTCAGTGATGCACAAAAGATTCGTTGATTCAACATTGAAAGTGGCTTTGTAAATCAAAGTGAACTTGTAGGTTGTCACATATTCTTGTCGCATGTATAATGCCCAAAACAGCAAAATTCTTAAAAAATGACTTAGCATTAAAATAAAACGAGTGGTATATTTTTTGCTTGAAGTCATAGAGGAGCAGTGACCACTTCCGAAAAAAAAAATACGTTAAATATGTCGGTAACCGGTCCTTTTGCGAATCTTTACTATTTTTGAATAAAATCCTGCTGTGGGTAGGTTTAATATTGAGTGTCCATTCCCAAACATTGTATAGGGAGGAGGCGTTGAACGTAGTTTAATATCAGCATAAAGTCTAGGACAAATGAAATATTTCTTCAGATAATGACCTAATTAAATGCACGTTTGTAACAGATTAAAAATAACATAAGGTCATGAATCATGATAATTTTTTGACGTATCTTCATTTCATAAATACTCGATTAAATATACGTAGGTATGAAAGGTTTAAGGCAACTCTTTTATTGTGCTTTGTCGTTTTTATTTTATTATTGTAGTCTGAACTGTCTTTTGGAAGTTATTAAGCATTTGAAAGACCAACATGTAATTATACTTATATATAATTTTCAATATGAAGTTACAATATTCCTAACCTATGTAAATAAAGATAAACCTACGTGATTTGTCGTATGTATTAATTAAGTAATTATTTAAAGTATAATGTTACTTTATTTACAATTACATAAGTACTAGTAATCTAAGCTTGTGGCATTTAGAAACATGTTTAAATTATTGCCATATAAACCTACATTTTTTAAACTAGAAAAAATCTAACCTTCACGTAGTTACGATAGAAAAAGAAAACACAAGCACCTAAGCTACTTAACGACCATTCCAGCAATACCATGTACAAAAAAGTTACAACAAATGTAATAAAATGAAAATATTCCTTTTAAAGTCGCAAACATAAGTAGCTACTTATTTACAAACAAACGCAGGAAATGAATACATTGACCGTCGAGTGGTTCTAAAATAATTAAATGTTCAAATGACGAATGGTTTACGTACATTTTAATTACTGAGATTGTGTTTTCTGACGTATCGATGTACGGTTATTATGTAAGAATAGGTAATAGATGACCTTGGAATTAGTTTTCAACGCATATTTTAGACTGTTTGACTGATCTATGTATGAATCAATGAATTTTGTTTAATAATATGCAAGTGACAAAAAAAAAATAGGTACTTGTGTAGCGCTTGAGAGCAGCAACGAAGATATATCATCTGATCTCAATGTTTTTAAATTATCCATGTTTTCTCCACTTTTGGAAAGGGCTTTGCTTGTAAGCTCTCTGAAGTATCGTATTCGAAACGAAGTGATCCGACAGAGAACTTAAAGTCAAAATCGTTTATTTCAATTAGACCCATACAGGCACTTTTGAACGTCAAAAAAATGTTTAAAGATATAAAGTGTCAGTCTGCCGGTCAGTCTTCTTAGTGAAGCTATTTTTAGTAAGCTAAGTCGACATAAAGGATAAGCAAACTGAAGTGGCAATGGGCAGATGACATTTGTTGAAGAAACAACGACCTTTCTTCTTAGAAATTTATTAACTTAACATAATTTGCTATTCCCAATCGAAATGAAGGACGGAGTTATCTCCCTTTAGTTTTAAGGATGCAACAAAAGAGAATCAACAATATTTTGTAACTAGCCTCCGCCCGCATGGTATGTTGATAAAAAGTAGCCTATGTCCTATTGCGAAGTGAATCCTATATGCCTGTGCCAAATTTTATCCAGATCCGTCCGACCGTTTTGGCGTAATTTAGAAACTAGGACCACCTTTTATTAAATACATTTTCCTTTATTTCCCAGCTCCGTCAAGGTCAGTCATACTGCACAGATAATGAGTGCCTGGATGAGTTCCCAAGTCTGCCATCGGCGCCGCAGTCTTCTGCAAACAGTTTCATGGTGATGTTCCTGATGATGGCTCTCGCACTTGCAATGTACGCCATGCGCCCGCGCCGCAACCAGATACAAGATTCTGCAAAGCCTTCGCGCAATTCTCAGGTAAAATTTTCTTAGACCTAGTTTATTTTTTACGCCTACTCAACTGTTTTTATTCATTAAAGTGTCTTTGACTGACATACCAAAGTAATATAAACTTTCTTTTTTTCACGTTTTTTTACACGACGTTTCGTAAATAGGTATGAATAAATGTCGTCTGTACGTTAATCCCAAACGTGATCTTCAGTAGACCTTGAATGTAACGTCAATGCCCTTTGTGTTAAAGTCATGGAAAAACTATAGTAAGTATAGATATTAAATAAAAGTTTATTTTCTTCTAGGTATATTATTGTAACCAATTGCGAAATTACAAAAGTATTGGAAAACACCAGAATAAATCATTTTTCGATAAACTGATGCGTGATTAATACATTAATACAAGTTCTTTCAATGAACTGGATGTTGATCGCAATGGGATGGCCTTGAATTATTGTGCAGTATGTACGTAGGTTGTACCATTTTTATTCGTTGTCAATGATCCTGACACAGTTAAAGTACACGATGTTGCAATGAATCAAGGTTCGTAGGTCACAGAGAAGCTTTGAGATAATCCTAAATACTCATTTACACTATCTTAATTATTTTTAAAAGAGAATAAGTAAACATCTGGAACAGACCCTTAGAAACGTTCTATAAATATAGGTATTTATGTTTTATCGTATCAGATTAGAAGAGATCAAATTAAAGATAAAAAGTGCTTAGAACTTTGTATATTCAGAAAGCTAAATATTTCACGTTACACGGCAGACTAAACTCAAGCGCGTCTAAACTGGTTGGAAGCAAAAAAGGAAACATGCATGACCGCAGGATACCTAATATCTAGTCTATTTGTAGTCATTATGTAATAGGCACAGCAAAAAATAATCCTGTTAGGCGATGGACAATTTTTGCGCTTCTTGACCATACATTTACGACTGTGTAAACTTTGACTTCCTCTTGTGAAGTTGATACCACCCCGTGTATATATAATGAATATCTGGTTTACCCTATTTTCTAACAAATTACTTACTTAATAAAATTTTAAACTGTATTCTTTTGTAGTATAAAGTCGACATCCAGGAAATAATAACAGTTATGTCATTGACCCATTAGCCTTTCAAACTCTAGAACTGAAGTTACAAGTCATTTATAGTTAGTTGATAAACTTATGACCCTGAACACCTTAAAAAACCGCAATATTATGATTACGTATCACAACTCAAGAGGAAATTATACAGACGATAAGCAGTTGATATTAATGTTTGGAATGGAAGTTTTAGAATTGAAATAATAGTTTTGTTTTTATATTAACGGCCAAGCTTAGTGCATCTATGTTTTCAGTCTTATCTGTAATTTTATCTTATTTAGGGCCAATTTCAAGTCTTAATAAGTTCTGAAACATTATGCATATAATATTAGAATGGAAAAGTATAATCATTATAAATTAGAAATTTACTAGCGTGTAACAAAGTTAAAATATATATCTGTAACATATGGTCCTTGACCTTTTAAGATGATAATTACTTTGTATAACTTACCTATAGATGTATTCTATGTATAGACGTGATTTCTAAACACAAGAAAAAGAGGTATATCGTTTTTACAAAAATATGCTTGTGTATACGTAATAAAAACGTATATTATTATGGGTGTTGGCGCTTCCATTCAGGATATCTGTGGGTCCCATACCTTTGCAAGGCTTATGAGGGGCCGATGACAACTCGCAGAGGCCCTTTGAACAACTTTAATATTAGTGAAATGGGACATCATCCGTTAATCATCGTTGATGCAAGACTAATGAGCAATATGATATTCCGAGTCCCGTGTGGTCTGGTATACATAGTGATATGAACTAAACCAATGGCCACCCGGAAACGGCCGCTAAGTTGTAGTGACACGATGGGCCACATACCTTGAGATGCTGGCTTATCCAGTCTTAGTTTATTATGCTTAACCTTCCTGCTATTAATTTCTGTATATTTGTTCTCAGGATCACGATGGAGCACCTCCAACGCCTCCAAGAATATAAACAGAAGAGTTTAAACAAGGGATCACGCTAACAATGAATTCCAGTAATTGTATTATATAGTAAATTGTACCGCACCAAGTTGTGGACACAAGAACGTCATCACAACTTATGTGTAGATGAATAAGATCGTGTATAGGTATTATGTACTGATAAGTTTATATTATAAACGATTGGTAACTTTGGAAAACGTATAACGATTCATTTCGCGCTGTTGCTGCCTTGCCTTTGAAATGTAACTTGAATAGGTGTCACAATAAGATCTTTAAGGTAATGATGGTTATAGCGGTTCGTTCTAATAATCCTACTTATTTTTCTTCTCTCTATTCATCATCTGGTGCTATTTTCTTTCATCTATTTATTTATACTTAATATGTGAGTATTATAACGTTTCGTTTGATATAAAGTAAATAGGTATATTTATAAATATTTTTCACCTATGCACATGACTGTTTTTTGCACTACATGAAAATAATTACACATCACATTAGTGCAATAATATTCTAAACATTATCTGAATCTTATCAAGATCTGATTTTTGAAGTATTACAATGAAGCGATGGTGAATTTGTTCACGTTTACGTTGACGTAACGCGACGAAGAAAGGAATCAATTCAAAGCATTTATGGCTTGAATTTGTAATCTGATGTCGTTTCGCAATTGCAGTTATTCATAGTTTGTGCCGTACGTTGCTATTGCACTGCTGGTTATATAATAACTTTGTTGATTTGAGAACGTCACGCCGGTGCGCGCTACAGAGAAAACTAGTGCTGAAGGCTATAAAAGCAAGACTTCATTTTACGAGATGGTGAACAGCCCAAAAGCGTGGTATAGTTAAAATTTCTCTCTAATCTTGATAAAGCCTCGTACATGCCTTGCCAATTGTGCAAATAGAAATTTGCAATTTTATTATTTTAATTTTTGCTTGTGTCACACTTTAAAAGTGAGATGAGAAAAATAAAATATAATTATTTTAAGTACTATAATATGTACGTCATATCATGAACACGCAAGGAGATTATTTTTCCTGATAAATGTTTTATTTTTTATTTTTCTGGTCCAACTATTGCATTATTATTCCACTAGGTTTAGTTCAACTTGGGTTGGGTTATATTTACAACCATTTTTCATTTTGTGAGTTATTATATTGTACACGTTATGTATTTTTATTATGACAAAACCGATCGAGATTATATCTATGAAGATAATAAACATACCTGTAAAATATTGATTGTTTTATTTCCTGCAAATGCATCAAGAGAATTGAAAAATACCGAAATGTACCTATGTATTCATATACGAACTACCACCGTTCTTATCGACGCCTGCACGAGCGCTGAATTCTATCTAAGTCAGACAGAGACAACACTATCACTCGCTGACTCACCCCACACGGCGTAAATCTCTTTCTAGAAAGTAATCTGTGTTTCATTACATCATACCACCATAAAAACAAATGATAAGCCATCGTGAAATATGGAAACACGACAATATTAGAAAACTATGTATTGCAATGGAAAATGAACACTGCGAAATGCAAATCATTTAAAAACATGGAAAATGATTGTATGAAATACAATTCATTAGTAACACTTGTATATGTTAAATTATACACATTATGCTAAAACGCACCGCTGTCAAGGTAACTGAAATTAACATAATTATTATTAAAATGTAACACATAACAGCACACAAACTTTCTAAAATATTGCTCGTAATCCAAAAATGGAATTGTCCTAATCTATTGAGTAGTATAAAAAATACGTCGGCTCAATTTACAAGTACCCTAACAATTCCGCATCTCAACTTTGCATTATAAAATGTCAACAGTCTTTGCCCCAGCGGGGGATTCCGTACATCATGAGTCCTGTATCCTATCCACTTCATTCTTAACTTTTCTAAGTAATGCACTTATTTGCTTGTACTTTCCTGTCGAGTTTGGTAAGTTTTCAAAGTTGATGACGTCACAAATGTCTTTTGCGAACTTATCGTCTGTTGGCAGTTTGACGTACGAGGAAGCTATGTTCATGACTGGTGTACCATATAGCGTTCCTTTTACATGACCAGGTTTGGACTCTGGTGTGACGGGAACTTCGGAAGAACTGTCTTTTTTGTTCGCTTCCTCGTCATTGCTACCTGGTGCAGATGATGTTGATGGAACTGGTGTTGATTCTAGTCTATTTTCTTGTGTTGATTGGTCATTATTTGAGGGCGCTTCGATTGTTTCTGTGTCATTGCTGGCAGGTTTACTATTGCCGATGTCATTTTTTACACTTACTTCTTTATCAGCGTCATGATTATTCGGTTTTTCTTCGCTGTTACCTGTATCCATATTTTCTGTAACGTCGATTGTTTTATCCAACATACTCTCGTCTGTCGTGTCCAATATTGTAATGACTGATGTATTAAGAGTGGAATCACTCTCTAAAGCACTTAGAAGAAGTCGTTTCTTTTCTTCTAAATCGTCTAATGTGGGGCTGCTGCGTCCACTGCTTTGCGTGTTCGTCTGGAAGAAGAAAGTTAGTTTTGTCTTTTGGCTGATACTTACATAAAACATCTTCATACAAATTTGGAATTGTAAAAGCATCATAATTACAAATAAAGTCTGTAGGTCATAACAGATGGCTCTTCATCTTATATACAAGAAATATCTGAAATCTGATCACATAACTCACATCCTCCTTTTCATTGGTGAGATCAGCGTCTGGTACTGGTATGTCTCCAACTTTAAGGACCTCAACTACTTGGAGATCGTCTTCCGAGCTCTCAGGTTTGTCTTCGGGGGCTGGTGGAGAGTCTGGCGGGGGCGGCGGAGGTGGCGGCGTTGCTGGAGGAGGGGGAGGAGGGGGCGGCGCCTCATCCGGTAATGGAGGGTTAGAGGGGAATTGTGCCACTTCTGTAATTGTAAGATTCGGTTAGTGGTGACATAGTGTATTGGGCGTGTCGAGTCGCGACGCCAACCTCTCGAGCAAAACAAAAATTATTAAAGATTTTCGAGTAGACAATTTAGAAAGTATCTAATCTTACTGCCACCAAAAGTGACATAGTTAATCACCAAGCAGTCATTAAATTAATATACTATATGCTACTATACAACTAGGCAAGATTTACGTCAACAGAATCTTTCTACTCACCGTCACCACTATCAAGCTCCATCTCTGCCTGTCCTTCGAACGTGGTGTTGGTAGACGCAGACGGAAAGAACGTGAGTTTCTTGCGCTTGTACGCCTTCATAGCATTCGGGGCCAAGTATTGGAGCATCGCCATCTTGCTATCCTGCTCCGACATAGGTGGTAAGCCGAATTGTTGGGACTCCTGAAATTAATATGGTAGATTTTTAAACAAAATACGTAAAACAAAGTCAGTCCTACACTGCTATTATATGAGACAATAAAAATAGTTTTTTTGTAATTCATGGTCGCAAGCGAGGGTGCGACCTACGATGGAGCATCCTACCCATATGCAACCTATTTACACACTCAGGCAAAGACTGCACAGTTGGCGCGGCGGCTGTGCAATTGGCTGCCGCACAGCGTATCGCGGATTTGATTCCCGCACGGAACAACTTTTTGTAAGATCCACAAATTGTTGATGTGTCCTCTAAATACAAGAACTTATTTTGCTAATATTATAAGCGCAAAAGTTAAGTCAAGTCGCAGTTGCAGAAGCTAGTTTTTATTATTATTTCGTAATGGGCAGGCATTTGGCCGCTATCACGCCTGAAAGTTAGCTACAATGCAACTTAAGACCCTCGCATACCCATAATAAGCTATGTTACCAGTACTTATTTTTTGACAGGGCAAAATCATCGAATGACTTCTCCCGCCCAGGGTCGGGAAGAAGGGAGTGTCAGACTCTTACTGACCAAAAACCCCCCGTTCCTTCTCCTGCTCGGGTCGAGGCCGAGGTGCCTCATTGCGCTTTTCCTGCAACCCCGGCTTGACATCAGCCCTATAGGGCCCCATCTGTGTTGGTCTATTGGCTTTTTGAGGCGCGTGCGGAACGCTTCGCGGCTCCGCGTAGACTCAAGATGTATGTAATGCTGTTTACTCTGTATACTGACCTCAATGTACCGTGAGCTGGCGGGAACGTTGAACCCAGGGAAGTCCAAAATCTTCTTGATATCAAACTTATCCTTGCTTCCCGGTTCACAAACTTCGCCCTCTTCCTCTTCTGGATCCAATATTGCATTGCCCTGGAATGAGCGATAAAAGTTTTAGTTTCTGCCTAGCTCAATGGATAGGCGTGACTTCAGGTAAAGTAATAAAAAAAAGCATTTTTCGGTGACTTTGTTGTTTGATATTTTGTAGTTTACTGCAATAGTAGTTTTATTTAAATGTTAATTGAGTAATCATAAGTGCGGCTCCCTGGTTCGATTATGGGGTAGGTGTCATTGAGGTGATACTTTTTTTTATAAATATTGGTTAAATTCACGTTTGTCAAAAGAACAAATTACCCACCATTGAATCAAACATGGAGATTCCAGAATGAGATATCCTGGCTTCCTCCAACCAGCCAGGCGGGTACCCCAGCAACCTCATGCGGTAAATATGCAGTGGCAACTCATTTCTTTTAAGCCCCAGAGCATGTCGGAGCTGCCCTGATATTCTACCAGGTATTAGATGTCCGTACTTCTGTTCATCTTCTACGTGGTACCGTCTGTAACAGAAGATGTATTGAAAATTTTGAGGCAATAATGTTTTTTTTTTAATTTGTTCCTGCAAAGAAACCTAACAAATTGTACTCTTGGTCAAGTCGCTATAATCATGACAGCGAATTTCAGATTAATATCAAATATAGGAGTGATTGTAAGCAAGCCTAAATGACGAGATTAAGATTCAATTCTCGAGGTGTACAAAGTGGAGAGGATATACTTCTGGTTTTTTGATAATTTCTCTATTAGCACTCAATGTAAACCATGTACTGTCTTGGTATATTGCAATAGACACTCTATTAGCAGTAGTCTAGTAGGACATAAATAGTGAAGTTTGGCCATAACATTAAAAATGAACCTCCTTCAGTGATTATTAAGAAATTTTACAATGGAGGTCATTTTTATGACTATGATTATGTTAACCTACCCAACTCTAGATGAATTCATAGCTTTTCTTTTCTCTGCTATCCTCGCGTGGTCTCTAGGCAGAGTACAGTCTCTGAGCTGATGGCCACCATCACAGTTGAAACAGGTTGGTCCTCTTCTCAATGGTGGAGGAGAAGCTTCCTTCTCGGGAGTATTTGAGATGAGTGTTGAAGCCTGAAATCCAATTAGAAAGCTTGATATAATTATATTATAGTTTAGTTAAGTACATGTAAAATGAGTGTCGGAATTGTGTAGTTTCATAGGTCAAAAATAATTAAAACTAAATATTGAAAAAATAAGTATACTTTCATTCATCTCAATATCTTCATCTGTCAATACACTACATTTTCAAGAACTAAGTAATCTATTTGAGACAAAAATACTATGATGATAATTTTAGTTTCATACAAATTGCATAGAAAAGTATTGTTTTCGACATTCAGATAACAGGATTGAATTTGACTGGTTGAAAACTATCATATTATCTCAAAATAAGTTTATTAATATTATAATTTATGCAAGCAATAATGTGAGTGTGTTTTGCCTAAACTTTCTACTCTAGAACATTGAATGTGTTGTCCAATTCCAAGGCAATGCTTATTAAAAGTAATACTTAGTAAATACCTTAACTGACAAGTGTATACTCCTAATGATTATTATTCATAAAATAAATTTATTATTATACTTGCAAATAACAACTTTACCTGACTGTATCTAGGGACTATATTTGGGCGGTCCACACAGGGGTCAGTGTCTATAAAGAATAAACTACTTTCTTCTGAAATTTCACAAGTACTGTTGTGTACTTCAGTATCATTCAAGTCTTCAGGCCAAATATCTAGTTCTAGATCGTTCTCAGTATTTATATCTTCAGTAACACCCTCATGGATCTTTATAAGTTTTATCATAAATGCCTTTACCTTCTCCTTGTATATACTCGCCATTTTACTGTCCTTAAATCTTACTGTAACGAGAGGAGTCCGATTTTCGCACCCTTCGACGCCCAAATCGCTATTACCCGGCGAATCTATAACTATATCCTCGTTTAATATCGTGGTTTTAGGACACTCGCTACTTATTTTCTTCACATTATCCACTTCATCTCCACCCTGAGTATCACTAGCTTTTGGAGTCCCTAGGGAATCAATATCTTTTGGAGTATCGATAGTTGATAAGTCAGACGTAATTTTCCCTCCATTGTGCATAGGCGCTTGAGATGCTACTACACCGCCTTCGAGTGTTTTATCTAAATTAATTACTTCTAAACTATTGTCTATTTTAACTTCTTTGTCGTCTGAGGTAGTGATTGTACTGTTTACCGTCTCCAAACGATTTATTTTGGGTGTTTTAACCTCATCGTCACTACTGAGAACGATGTCCTCATTGTCCAATTCATAAATGATATCATTCACAGCCGCTTTCCTTTTGGCCATGACGATGAGAACAAGTCATCAAGACGTTGTTCTGTTCTTAATTTACGATTTAATAACGTTATCTTCTCTGAAATTTAGATAAATAAATTACAACACAGCAACACGGATACTGTATTATTTTGACTTTTGACCAAAAGTCAAAATATTATTTTTGACTTTGACGAAGCTAATGTTGCAACATCAAAAAAAGAAGGTTCACCGTAACCCGTTCGCACTGACCTCTATAATAAACGCTGGACTGGCTATCCCTAACAAAATGACAGCTATTTTCTGTGCCGATTCAAAGCGCCCCGGTGAGAGTACTGAGAACTAATTAAATTGCAAATGGCCGTTGTTTGTTGTTTAAATGCGAAGTATCTTTGCGGAATAATACGTTTTTTAAAGTATTTACTGCGATTGTGACATAAATTAAGTGTTATAATAGTGACAGTTATTGTATCATAGCTTCTATTAATGGACCAACATGAAATCGTGCGTATATTGTGAAACACGATACGAAAAGAGCAGTGGCGTCACTTTTCACAAGTAAGTGAATCTAAAATATAAATACTTAGTAGGAAACGCTTAAAGCAGTGTATTCTTTCAATAATAAACGTAAACAGTTCGAGTTTATGGGATTTTACGAACATTTTTATAACCAATAACTTTTGATAGGGATGGTAAAGTTCATATATCGATACTTTCGTCTGTACAGTAATAAAACCAGTAATGCTATGTTTTATTTTATTCATAATTAAAATATTTTATATTTTTAATATTAATTTGCGTCAAATACGACACAGCTCTTGATGGTTTTTTAACAATTCATAAGTATTATTGGCAAAATTGTGGTGTTTTCCACAAAGGCCTAAATAAGAATTTAATTGAATAAAAATATTTACCTTCATTGTAGAATAATAATAAGCACAATATAATGATCTCTAATAATAGCAAAACACTGCAAGGTTTATAATTATCAGAGTCAATAACGAATAATTTAACATTTATGATTAATAATTTTATTGAGTGATCTACCAAACCTAAATTTATATATATTTGTAATAAAATAACACATTTTTACAGAAACCAATTCAACCTTATTACAAACTGAGATGTCTAAAAGCTGATCAACCAACAGAATACCAATGCGAGAAAGATATTGAAATGAGCTTGGATGAATTTAATTCACCATCAGTACCTGTACAAGTTGGGTTACTAAATGATGAAGTCCATGAAAAGTAAATGTTGCCATGTGAAGCCCTTGCAGGTAAGTTATTTTAGAAAATTTTATAAATACTGAGCATGGCTTGCTGAAGTACTAAGTTTGCAACTAACAGTGGGTAAATACTAAACAATTTTTAAGAGGTGAAAATTATGTACACTTAAGGATTTTTATGCCTATGTCCAACAGTGAACATCTTTCCGTTCAAATGATGATGATGACATACCTTTCCCAATATTTTGAAACATATTTTTACTAGGTATCTAATTATTATCTTTCTTTGAATAATATAAATAATGAAATATAATTTCTTGTTACAGTTCCAAGCACAAGTTACAAGTTTACAACACAAGCTACTGTAGCACACCAACAGAATCTAGAACTTTAGCGGAAATCATTTCTAGTGTCAAATTAGATCACAGCTACGAGAACACCCCAAAATCTTCAAAAAATAAATTGGAAAGGGTCTAAAAACCTTGAAAATGTCACAAGCTCGAATTAAAGTATTGTCACAAAATATTAAACGTATGAAAATTACTGTGTCTACTTTAAAATCTGTAATTGCTGATTTAAACCAAAAGAAACTGGGATGTGATGATTGTGTTTATATGTTAAATCAGTATGATGATTTCAAACCACAACTTTTTAAAAGAATAACCAAAAATGTAAAACGTTTAAAGTAATCTCCAGAATTAAGATAATTTGCCATTTCTTTACATTTTTATTCGCCAAAGGCATATGCATATGTGCGTAATAGGTTTAATTTGGCTTTGCCTCATCCTCGTGTGATACGCTCATGGTATAGTTCCATTGAGGCCAATCCAGGTTTCTCAGTCGAAAGTTTCAATACCTGATTCTAATATTAATGAGGCTTTATAATTCGATCGATATGAAAGTCAATAAGCAACCTTTTAACGAAAACCAATGAACTGTTTCCTAAAAGATCACTTGAGAGACAGTCTGTTATGTCTCAGACAATTTTCATAATCATGTTCTTTTAAAAGAAATAATAACCAAATATATTGACATCCATTTGTACGCAAAAACAAAAAAATACTTTTTATTAGTAACTGGAGAGAAAGTAAGACATTTTTTGACCCAGCAGATAAAATGGGCTCGACGATATATTTTAAATAATAAAATATGTGATTTAAATATGCTTTTTTAATTTCCCTGTCCCTTCCCTTGCAGTAGTTAAGCTGTTAGAAGTTTATTACCGTAATTACAGATCTAATAGTAATTATTGTGTCTTGTGCCGCATGGCGACATGGGATATCTTACTAGTTAGATATCCCACGTCGCCATGCGCAAGCAAATTAATCCCTTACCATAGAGTGTATAATACATTCTATGAAGGGTAATTTTATTATTTATTAATTCAATAGTGAACTTTTATCCAATCAAGAAGAACAATGAAATGAAAGAACGGGTCAACCGGACACGTGATACCTATTGATTACAGTCCAGAAACTAGTAGATACTACTATTACAGATAAGTTTGTTTGTCTCGTAGTAAGTGGCTCTGTCTGCTATGCCGCAGATCATGGGTTCGATTCCCACTCAGCTGTCTGATACATAACACAAGCTCTGCTTAACTTGGGACTAGATGGTGTTGTGTGATAGTTATTTAAGTCTGAACGTATTTTATGTTACAAACCATATTTAAAAAAAATATCTTATGTACCTATATGTCCTATGTACAGCCAGTTTATTCAATAATTTAGATTCTAAACCAATTTAATATTAAAAATATCGTCAGTAATATTTTTGTAATTGTTGTCGATATCAGTAAAGTTTTTATCGATATCAAACCATTTGTTGTCAACACTAGTATTAGTTCCATTCCCCCTCACTTCTGCCGTCAGCGCCAAAATGGCGATTTTCAAATAGGCACAAAAAGTTGGTACCAATAGCCAGTCCAGCGTTATTATAGAGGTCAGTGCACAGAGTACATTTAACAATAGGAAAGGTCAGTGCCCGTTCGGGATTAATAAAAACCGGTACATCAAGTCATCAATTTTAGTATGTAATACGAGAATGAAAGCCCTCGTTCTCAAAAGGTTCGCATTCAAATATTAATAAGCTGTCAAAATTTATAAAAATAAAAAGCAATAAAAACATTTTAAGTTTATAGGTTAGAATTCAGAACAACACAAAACCCGAAAATGTCCCTTATTTTTCGTACATTAGCACGAAACAACCCAAGGAACATAGTTACAGATGCACAAATATTTGTCATATCGTGCCGCAAGTTGAGCATAGTCCCTTCCTTATACGGTAAGTCTATTGAGCCATTCACGTAACCAGTTGGTGTTTTCCAAGGATTATTTAGCATTTATTCAATTATCACATCACAAAAATCTATTTATTTAGATGGCAACCAAGACCCTGCACCAAAGTTCTTTTCTTCCAACGTTCAAATATTGTTGAAACGATTGACTCGACCAGATTTCAACAAAGTATTTCGTAAAAGAACAAATCATGGCTTGAGTGTCCTGAAGACACCATCTTATAAGTTTTTAACAAACGAAGAGCTTGAAGAGGAAATTGCTAAAGCTAACGAAAAGGCTAACAGGCTACTTCAGATGCCACCAGTTGTAAAGGTAAAATAATTTTCCAAGAAGTGCAAACTAATTTGTTTTATGAGATTCTTAATTGACACCAAACAACATTTTGCACATTGTAAATATAAAACCCTTTTACCAGTTGGAGAAATCCCTTTTATAAGCATTACATATTAATATCAAAACTTTCTATCTTTCTTTCATTTAGTTTTATACAACACTTTATGATACAAACATGTAGTGTAGACTCAGAAACTGAATTATACAACACTTTAGAGTCTCTACATGTGTTTTACACACAGAAACTGATCAATTTACTCAAACATTAATTACTTAATTTATTTATTTTGTTGTTGTTTGTACTTTACAGATCCAGCAGCATATTGAAGATGTGTTATCCAATGACCCAGCATTGATAGGCTATGACACAGCGAAGTATATATTCACAGACATCACTTTTGGTGTGGCCAATGAACACAGAATTATTATTGAGCGGTATGCATTTGAACAATATCCATGGGTACACTTAGAATATTATGAAGGAATGGATGGGTGTTCATTGAAATAATCTTGGTGCACCTCCAACATATAAGAAAGGCAACAGTACCTGGTTATGTCTTAAAACTGGTCAGTCACTGATAGATGTGCTTGGGCCAAAATATGTTTTTTAATACTAGAAAGAGAAATGCCTATATAGTTTCTTAAATGTTGGAGTTTGGTTCACATCCAAAGTTAAAAATAAATTGACACAACATTTTATGTATGAAGTAATAACAAAAATTAATTGAACAAGAAAATTATTATTAAAAAATTTTCTGTCAAAATTTAAGACAATGACTGATGCATGACAATGAATGATCAATACTTGACAGTTACATGATGAATTCAATGAAAATATGTGATACTATGTTATACAAAATTCATTGCAAATTCATGATTTTGACATTTTGAAATATTATAAGTATTAAATTTGAATGTACAGAAGTGTAGTATTGAACTGATCCATTTGGGGCCAAAGCATCACCCTCCCACTGTTATTATAAGTCTTATGTCCAAATTCCAGTGATCCTGATGGCACTCTCCGCAGCTGCGATCATGATGTCAGAAAAAGGTTGAATCAGGTAAAAATAATATAATTTCATTAAGAAACAAAACTAAATGAATATATTCCATTATAGTGCCACATTACAATGTGTAAAGTCTCTGTGTGTAATCATTTTAGTGACAAAAGTTTTTTTTATTTACTTCTTTATTTCGAAAGACCGCCTACCTTCACTGATGGACAGACACAGACTGAAGTGTTTGGTAATCATTGGTGTAATAAATGCGTGAATTTTTTATTTATTTTTTATACATATTGCCCCACGCTAGGATTTTCACATGTGTCGTGGGTGCGTTTACAAACATACGATTTCAAAGTCAAAGTCAAAATCATTTATTCCAACTAAAACATAAATAGGAAGTTTTGAAACGTCAAAATAGAAAAGTAGTCTGTCAGTCAGTTTGTCAGTAAAGCTAGGTGCTCATTCCAAATTGTAGATTCGAATGGAGAAGAACGAGCAAGAAACTCCATCGTTTCCGTGCGGAAATCGAACCCGCGACATATTGCGCGGCAGCCAGTTGCCCAGCCACCACGCCAACCATGTTTTATGTAATAATGTTATTTAATTTCAGGCGTATTTCCCATTGAATGGCCGGAAACTGAGAGAGCCATTGATGTTTGCTGACTTAGAGAAACTGAACAGCCTACTGGACAGAGAGAAGTATGAGTTTGTGCTGGACCGTGCCTGCGTGCAGTATGAACCTGATGAGCCGTCCTACCAAAGAGTGACCAGCATCACCTACCAACATGTTGATACCAAGAGCAAGTATGAACTTTTGAGGTGAGGATTCACTTATTTCAGCAGAACTTATCAATCCGAAATAGATGTTTGTAATTATATAAAAAGTATTTTTTATAGGGGAAGTTGTAGACTTGTAACAAATATTTTGTTTACTATTCGGTTTTCGACCTGCTTATATTCTGCCGAATACCGAATCTATATCTATGTATACATATATAAAAAACAATGCCACTTTTCGTTGTTATGTTATAACTAAACAAAAACCTTTAACAATTCAGCTAATTTTAGTGTTGAGTTTGTTTGTACGTCGAGAAATATTAAAGAAAATCGTGAAATAGCGTATAATCGACATCGGGCGTAACTGCGGCGACCGCTAGTTTCATACCGCGACATATTATGCGGCGGTTATATACTTGGTGAAGATATTTTTAAGTCAGTTAGAAAATAATAGAAAATAATTCATCATATTTAAATGTACTACAACTGATTTATAAGACAGTTAAACACACAATTTCCTTTGCTTTTATATATCAATTAACTTTCATTTCTTTAACAGGTCGACCCGCCACTTCGGTCCGATGACTTTCTACCTAACTTGGCACAAGAGTATGGACAACTTAATGCTGGAGCTGATTCAGGGTGGCGCTGTCAGGGAGGCAGTGCTTCTAGCCGCCTTGAGACAGGATATACATGGAGACGTGGCCAATGGAGATGTAGCAAGGACCTTAGCACAACAAGTGAGTATACGCTTCAAACAAAAGAGAGTTCTTTTTTTATGTAATAGATCGGCAAACGATCAGACGGATTACCTGATGGTAGTAAACAATCAGCACCACCATGGACTCACACATGGAGTTACGAGTGCGTTGCCGACCTTTTGGGGATTAGGGGTTTGGAGATTTAGGGATTGGAGAGCACCAACTCGTGCCGAAGCATGAGTTTCCTCCATATCCCTTCACTTGTTTCTCAAATAATACACGTATTTGCAGTACATTTTTTTTCTGGTTTTATAATTTTATTTACTCATATTGTTCCAGATCCTTCCCACTCCTGTGCAACTGACTAAACCAGAGAGCCTTACAGAAGAGGACATTCAGCTAGACTCCAAGTGTGTAGAATGTATAGAGAAGTACATAACTGGTACTTCTAGCATGAAGAGTCAACAGGAACTGGCTTTGCAGGGCTTCAGGGAATATTATCAACAGCTGATTGAACTCAGCAGGGGTTTGAAGAAGGCCCACGGCAAACAATAAGCATTTATTTATGTAGTGTTGTAATTATGTAATTAAATAAACGATTAGTTAAGTTTGGGACTGTGTTTTATTTTATGTTTTTTACCGGGAATTAATTGTTCCTTAGCCGGTTAAAAGAGTTCTAGAAGGATTTTAAATGATGTAGACCAGACTTTTGATGTACAAATGTGACTGCCTCAGATTCGTTTAGGTCTAATACCCGTAGAATATTTTTATCAAGCTTTCATCCTATTAGATAATACATAAATTTACTTCAAAAAGTTCAAAGTTGACACAGATATAAGTGACAGTCTTTGCCATAAAGAACATGACTGCCTTGTCATTTTGTCATTAGAAATCGTCATTTTGTAAAGTATTTACTTATTTATATTGGAAATCATGTCGAACGCATTCTAAATAATGCCATTTTATCACAAACCACGGGAGTTTACTCCACTTTTGATAGCGGCGCAAAAGAAATCCATAAAGAATGGTCTTCGCCACGCGATTTTTACGTCGAGAGGCGACAAATATATCGGGGATTGGAAGAACGATGTGAAGGAAGGTAGGTACAATGAGACGTTTAAAAGAATAAGTAACAGGTGAAACTAAACTCTAGAAATAAGCAGGAATGGTTGGTACTTATTGAAGAAAAGAAAAATATACACTTCAGGCCTTGTGTACCTTTGCCGGGGTTGCGGGGTTTGGGTTAAGTGCAATGAGGCCTCGACCTAAAACAGAAGGAACGGAGGTTTTTTAGTCAGTAGGTAAGAGTCTGACTCCCTCTCTCGCCTTACCCTGGGCGGGAGAAGACATTTGATGACTATATCCTGACAATGAAGTCGGTTAAAAAAAAGAAAGGCCTTGTATACCTACGTGACGATAATGGCAAAAATGTATAAGTTGGTAAAGTTCAGATTCAATTTGATTATCAGACTCAGGGACACAGCCAGTCCTTGCTTGACCATCACGATCTAAATCTTTATGTAGAACTTCTAATTATTGAAAATTGATATTGTTAATAAGGAATGAAAAATGATCAACGACTTGGTCAACGCATTGAACAAGTTATACCCATAGGTAATACTCAATCTCACCCAGCTAATACCTAAGTACCTACACATATCTAACACCAGGACCCTGAACAACAATTTATGTACCTAGATGTGTGTGTGATACACAAAACAAACTTTGAATCGTAGGTATATTTCGCACGTTAGCTACCTTAACAGCAGCCAATTACCCTATCACTGCGCCAACCGCGTAGTCAACTTGATTTGACCTTAATTTCCGCAGGTAAAGGCAGATTCTTGACTGCAGGAGGAAAGTTGTATGAAGGCGACTGGGTCAAAGGCTGTAGGTGAGTCATGTTTCCTACAGTTTCGGTTTAATGGAGAGGCCAAGGCAACTTGCAAACAGTGGTCACGAGACCATGAAACCTGTCTATGTGCCTATCAGTAAACAAAAATTAATCTTGACTAGGTAGGTAGGTAGATAAGGCAGATTCCGGAGTACAAGGAGGGCTGGTTTACAGTTAGTAAAACTGACATTTCCTTGTCGGAGCAGCATGAAGCGACGGGTTTTTTGTTCGGGCGGAGAAGTCATTAGATGATATTTCCCCCTTAAGGTGTCTAGATGCTTAAAGTGTCCTCATAGATGCCGATAGCGGCAACCAGGATGGAGGTGGTTTGGGGAGCAGGATTGGGATCCCGCAATTCATAGTCTTTCTCCCCCAAAAGCTGAACACCTTTTGAAGATTTTCCTCCAAAGCATGACAGCACATAGTTGGTCGCTACTAACTCATCTAGACAATCAGAGGCGTGGAACAAGTGGTGTATAATTTTTACACAAACCCAAAACAAAATCCTACTCATTTGTTATCCTACAGGCATGGTTTCGGTTTGCTCAGCCAACGGCAAGAAAATGGAACGTTTAAACTGATATACCGCGGTGAGTGGGCTCACGGCTACCCTGAGGGTTCCGGCTGGATGTACTACGACTCCGGAGATACGTACATGGGGTTCTTCAAAAGAGGAATGCGACATGGTTACGGAAACATGTGGTACAAAGACGGCACTTTCTTTGCCGGCTACTTTTATAAGAATATGAGACATGGCATTGGTTTGTTTTTACAAGGTGAGTAGGTAGGTATAAGTATTATTTACTGTTTATCATACCTACATAGATGCGCTGGTCGTAACACTCCACTATTCTTCTAAAAAAGGTTTTCATAATCATTATTTCCGCGTTTAGAGGACGTGTTAGAGATCCCAGTTTTGAAGTTTATGAGTACCTAAATGGGATAGAGCTTTTCTGTCTAGTTTGTTTAGGTACCTATTTATGCCTTTTCTTAGTAAGTAGGTACCTTAGACACTTACGGATAGACAAAAGTTGTGGTGATAAGTCTCAGCCATCACCACGCGCCAAGTAACTTTAGACGCCATGCGGCAGTTATAGAAGTTTAGGCTAATGAGTAGGTTAAAACTACTAACCAAAATGTTTGCTACCTACTTAGCGGAGGAAGATAAGTTACGATACATATTGACATAAATGATGGTAATTATAGTACTTAATATAACCCATTGAATAGACAGCGATATGCCTACTTGCAAAAATACTTTCTGTGTGTGAACAATTATTTAATAGGTATTAAGACAAACATTGCACCCAACATAACAATGTACCTAGGTATCGGGTGTAAAATATCTCACGAAACCACCTTATAAGTAAGTATTAACCGCACGAGAAGTCTTATAAGCGACGGAAGTCCGACCACATGCGACCTACAGATGTGTCGGTCGGTATCGCCTGTATTATAAACGTTATAATCGCAGGCTAGTTTGAAGTTGCCTTCTTTTGTTTATATCAGCAACAATTCCCACGATAAAGAACAAGGTAGAAACGACAGCACGTCAAGCTATCCTATGCATCTTTCATTTTCAACCTTACTTCGTCATAGGAACAAGGTGGAAAATCGGTTGTGAAAAAGAGAGATTGGTAGAGCTTGATTTGCAGTCTCTTATGTCGTGCGCGCACGCTACTGTTTGCTGTGCAAACACCTAATTGAAGTAGATAGTTATATAGGTAGGTACTTACCTACTTAACCATTCATGTTTGTTTATGTTTTTAACCTTGAACTAACATTTTTTGTTGACCTCAGCTGACGGGAACAGATATGAAGGACATTTTGAAAATGACCTTAAAAGTGGTTACGGCCGATTCTACCACATGATGACCGGCCAGATTCAGGAAGGCTGCTGGGAAAACGATGTCTGTGTCATGTCTAAGATGTCAGATATGCTGGTGAGGCAGGCTTGCGAGAGACCCACGCCTTATCCTATACCAGTGGTGAGTACCAGTAGCATATGTATAATTTATTTTTATTTATCCAGGGTAGGTATATCAATTATCTACATACCCAACTAAATCGGTCCAGCTGTATTTGCGTGAAAGAATAACAAACATACATACACGTTCTAAAGAGGAATTATCATCAACTGGCTTAGGTACTTTCTGTGCTTCATTTAAGCATAATACTAAGGTCTTCTAATAGCAAGCATTGAGCTAGATCTAAAACTCTTCGCATTCAGCCACTGCCGGCTCTAAAATGGATACCCATTGGAAAGGAATACACCATTCCTTTGATTTGAACTGAGTTAAGTACCTAGTTAATCGTTAATAGATACTTATCAGAGACGAAGAGGGTTCTTTCGTACATGTCCAAGCTTAACAGATTGTTGTTATTTATAGGTACTTGATAAATAATATACATATTTTAGGTATCTAGATCTTGTAAGAAACGCTGATAAATGACATTATACTTAGTCAGTTTTCCATTTTGATAGGTCCTACTTACAGCTGAGCCGTTAGGTACTGAATCAAGCATTTGGCGTTATGTTACAATGAACCTTACTTACCTACATAATAGAACATTAAGAATGCAGCTCCGTGAGACTTGGAGGCTTTGTCATTATAACAATAAGTGGATATAATTATACATATAAGTACTCGTAGTTGAATAGTGGGTAAATATCTAAGTAGGTACCTGTATGGCGCCTCAAACACAATAACTTTAATAAACTATAAGTACCTATACCTAAACAAATATTTAGATACTTTATTCCCCTTATTACAAAACAAGGTTTATCTTTAGTCCAGGTTTAAACCATTGAGTTGAGTTTTGAATTTTGAATCTTATTGTCATCTACCTTCAATTCGAAATACGAAAACTGGCTCAATGGTTTAGTCCAAGACTAAAGTTAAACCTTGTTTTGTAATAAGGCCGTATATGTCTAGGTGTCTTGCCTTCCTGATTGAAACTTTGGGTTGCTATTAGTGCACCTAATAAGCAGAGGTAACGAGTCAGTGAATGTACTAAGTACTAAGGCAGACAGGACAGGATGCGGTAGCAGTTACATTCAAGCCGGTTCTAAAGTTCGAGGTTTCCTCACAGAAATACTTTATTTACCTATATACAGATATTCTTCATATTAATACTAAGTAGGTATTGATTTCTATGATTATTTAATAATATTTAAACACTAGGTATGGTAAACATCATGAGAAAACCTGGACTTATATATAATTTCTAATTAAATATTGAAATCGCTGATCCGCCTTGAGCAAGCGTGGTGATAAATGCTCATTAGTGTCTTCTCCGTGTGAATATGAAAGGCCTTTGCTTAGCAGTGGGCACTTAGGTATAGGCTGATGATGTGAAGTGTGATTAATTTATTGAATTTACCCACACCGGCAGGTCATTTAAGTTTTTGTAGAAAATCACAAGTAGGTATTAAATCGTTTAATTAACGGAGGTAATTTACGGAGGTAGGTAAGTACCTACCATCTAATAACTTAAAACAATGGGATGTTGCTAGCATCAATACATGGCAAATTAGTTGATAGGTACTTGAGCCGTAGTCTTGTTAATTTTTATTAATCACTCTAAACAAACGCGTAACCACATGTGTAAGTACCTACCTATAGGTAGGTATATCTAGAAGCTGTGTGTTACATTTAATGCCAATAGAAGTGTAGGAGAGCCACTTCGGCACGGATGGGTCGGTTCGACGGGCTCGACCCGAGTAATACCATGGTCTTATAAAAAACCGGCGTGAAACAACTACAGCGTAGTGTTTCGCCGTGTTAGTGAGGTTACCGCAGGCTCAATCCTTCTCCAATCCCAAAATCCCTAATCCCCAAAAGGTCGCATTCGTTACTCTCTACTCGGCGGTAGATTTCCGATTGCTTACCATCAGGAATTCAACTCCATGTTTGCCGTCCTGTCACAAAAAAATATAGACCTTCAGATTTGTCCTATAAATCTTTTCCTTCCAAACATATGCGTAGGTACAACTTATATTTAGGTAAGAATCATAGAGAACTAAACCTGGTTTAGTTAAAGTCTAAAGTATTTACTCCAATATCTTACGTTTTTGCTTTTTAACCATATAAGTAAAATTGGGATTTTGTAGGAGGTTAATAAAAAATGCAATTTCCTATGATATTGATTAGTGACTACAGATTTGTATTCGATACAAGACAAGACATACGCTTGACGTCACAATTTACGTCAAACAAAAGAAAATAAATAAATAAAAGATGATGCCAACAGCAAGTTTTTTTAAACCGGATTGTATCCATGAGTTCGTAAGATATTTGTTGCATTTGCTAAATTCTGATTTTATACATGAATCCATATAATATAGGACTGTATTCGTCGGTCACATTTCCTTGTACCGAAATGAACTGGTGACATCATTCGGCAATCAAACAAGTTTTGTTTTAATATTTGAGGGTTTGATGTATTTACGATCGAATTTGGACAACGCAACGGCCTAAAACGTCATCTAAAGAGAAACCCAGCTTGAGGTTTTCCTTTTTTTTGAGAGAGCTGCTTTATCATATGTCTTGTACCTACAGCTCGATGTGGGGCGAAAAGGAGTGTTACTCTCACTGACTAAAAACCATCTCGTTCCTTCTCCTACTCCTGGCCGGGGCCGCAGTAGATTATTGCCCTTGCCCCGCAAGCCTTGGACGAGTACAGCTAGCACTTGTTTTAGAGATGAAAGTCATATTTTTCAAATAAACGCTGTAATTTGAATAGGTTGAGTATAACAACAGTTATACTTACTGATTTACAAAGATTATTTAGTTTTTGTTATGACAACCGGAATCAAGTGATTGGCTAGCTCCAGGCTAACCGTCAGTGAGATATACTTAATTACAGAAAATAGGTAGGTACTTACGTGAAATAATTAAGAAAAGCTGTTCTATATTCAACACACAATGGGACTCTTATTAATGAGCAGAGTTTACCTACGTCGCGGCGACGACTTATTTGAAAGTAGTAGAGCAGTAGTCAGTTAAAAAATGTTTTAAATGTTACGTTCTTCATTACAGGTTGAATTGAAATTCCCGAAACTCGTTCTTGAACACAGCGAATTTTGGATGAAGCAGAAAACGGGTGAATACGACAAAAACATCAAGAAATGCATCGACCAAATGTAATAGATATATTAAGACAAGTGTTTTACAAGATCATTGATAATAACAACATTGTAAAATTATTTCTTATATAAAATTCTACGGGTTACCATTTTAGATATACAATATTATTACTAAATACACTTATATATTAACAGATTTATTAATGTCATTCATTATTATATCACAGTACTTATTGGATTAAGTAATAAATACAGTCAATATCATGTTATTGCCCTAAGTTTTCGGCTTACAAATTAATACATATCTGTGTACAGCGCATCTCTAATTAAAATAAGGTACACTGGTGTAATTGGCCACCGATTCAATGCTACTTTAGTACCTACTTACTGTGGTAGATGATATACCTAAATAAACATAATTATTTAAAATGTATGACGTGTCCCTAACTCTACACTCACAGATTAGTGTAATAAAAGTTTGCAGTAAATAAAAAAATTGCGTTTAATTTTTTTTCTGCAAACTCAACATTTTTTTACAAGTGCGTCAAGTTTCGAGACGAACCGGGGCCCATAATCATGAGACCCGTAATATAATAACGAATAATTGAAATGGTAATTCTCTATGAAACAAATTATGTGACGATCATATAGGTAAATATAATACCTATCTAATGTAGTAACTGGCAGCCATCTTATCGTGTTGCATAAGTCTTGATTCATAATAAGTAATTACTTAGACGAACTATTATGAAGTTCGTATCTACTAGTTAGCGTGGCTTTATGGTATTTATCGCTATTCGTACTTAAGCACGTTTACGTTAATTGTTGATTAAACGTGAGACTTACTAAACAATGATTTTCAGTGTTTACAAAATTACGTCTGTTACCAAAACTAGTAAAGGTTTCGATAGGAAGTTTTCATTGCCATATAACGTAGTGATTAGAATTAAGGGGGTGACCAGATGTTGGCGAATTTTCCACCTCATTCACCCCCTTTCTGCGTCTATTTACCCCTCGAATTCTATTCACCCCGTTTCACCGTACTTATGCATATCGATTGTGTTAACATTGTACAAAAATATTGTCTGTCATTATAACTTTATTATTTTATAACCCACATCGCTGTCCGTCACATATTGTTTTTTATAAATAACGCGTCTGTTGTATCCCAGCTGCGGTTGAAATATAACTCCACTGACATTTACGGCACATTAACCCTTTAGCCGTGTTGTAGAGGAACGATCACGTTTGACTCGCTAGCAAACCTAATCAATCATGCATAAATACAGCTACAGTGGCCTGGAGTATAACCTATACTTCTCTGTAATTATTTTAATTCCATATTCGACTTTATAATATCAACGGAATAAAGTTAAAGATCAAAAAAATTTGGCAGAAAGGACAAGGTTGACCTGTGCGCTTCTCACCTGTACTATGCGGAAAATGTCAAAATGGCAAAATGTGGCATTGAATCGGTTGACATTTAGGTAGGTAGGTACCCTAGATTAAAAAAGTATTACCTACCTACTTATGGTAAGTTATGATTTTTTTATGTTTTACTATAGTCAGAATTTTAATTCGATTCCTGATTTGACATGACCTATTGTCATTTTGTGAAATAATGATACCACATTTAACAGTGTAGTGATGCCCACAAAAATCGATAAACAATCAGTGAATCAGTTTCAGGAAGGCATTCAAAAAATTACGGCTACCGAATGGTTTAAATGGGTATCCCATGTTGTCAAAGAAGAGGTAAAAATGAGTACATAAGCTAGATATGTTAATTGACAATAGAAATCACAGACACAATTCATAATAAATGTTACAGAAAGTAACAGTGATAGCGATAGCGGTGACGGCGACAATTTATAAAATTTCTATTTTATTTGTCATGTTCCTTCATGATCACATTTTTTATAAATTTCACACACAATTACAAAAGAAAAGTCAATAATTTAGTTTTGACAATTAATTAACGATCTGATCGTTAATTAATTGTCAAAACTAAATTATCGTTTCAGAAATATTTTCTTTCCTGATAAACTTAGTTTACGAGTTTAAATTTATAAACGAGAGGAATCGATCCAGAAATATTCGATTTCCACATCGAATAATTACGCAACGTCACTATTTATTACGTGCCATAACGTTGCAACACAAATTGTCAAATCTGGAATGGAATTAAAATTCCGAGGGTAGAACTTTTGCTGTGTATCTATGTGTAAAATTATTTTATACATAGACATCTACTTATTTTGTTAAATAAAAGATGTAGGTATATATTTTTTGTTTTATCTATTACTTCAAAAGTAACTATCCTTTGTGACTAAAACTGAATTTAATGTTGAAACAAGTAAGTAATATATCTTTTCTTTAACATGAAACAATGGCGCCAAACGGTTGCCATTTTATATAAGCACCTTTTATTATTTCGCAATAAAAAATATAAATAAAACGTTAGCATGTTTTGTGAGATACGAAATAAATCTAAACAACCTACTTAATTCAATATTTTTTTTTATAATTGTCTTAACAGTATTAATAGTTTTTTCATGAAGTTTCAAAGACAAAATCATTTATATCAATTAGACCATTATAGACAATTTTAAACGACAAAGAATTTTACAAAATATTGCTATAGTGAAGTTGTTTGCACAGTGTAGATTCTAATGGAGAAGAACAAGCAAGATACTGCATGGACATGAACTCTTTTTCAACCAGTACCTATTAGGATCAAATTTCTACGAAGCCATATTGTGACGTCAGGTTTTTTTGCGTCTAACAAGATACTTATTTCTTGAAAATTAGCTAGAAAAATACGAATATAAAGTAGGTATATCATATAATCAAATTTATTATTTATTGCATCGAAAACGTCAAGTACTTGACGTAGACAAAATTAAATAATTTACTAATATTGTACCTACTCACCTAACAATTATAAATAACGGCACAGTCATGCGCTTTTGGTACCTACAAGAATATTTATTATAGTTTAAAGAATATAATTATATTATACGAAATTGTGATATGAAAACTTAAACCAAATTGACATTGTAGTGTAAGTAGTTACATAATTTTCTTATTTTTTACCAATCTAAGTACCTACACCTACTACAAAAAATATTGCAAAATTTTTAATAAGATTGTATTCGGGGCCTGAATAACTTAAATTATTGCACGAAACAATATATAGGGCGAGCCCATTGTCAAGAGCTCAAATCCTTTGAAAAAAAAGAAATGTATAAAAAGTTATGCTTGACATTTATGGATAAGACATTGACTGACTGAATTGATTTTGCGCGGCTTTTCCGCAATACTTTAGAATGTCAGGGAATGAATGTAAGGTAAAGGTAGGCCAACCACGTGGGTTACACTTATTAAACCTTAGTTAGGTACGTTAAACTTTGTTAAAATTTTATAGGTTTGTTCTGTATTCTGAGTAGGTATTGTAGCTCCCACCTAAACTATTTTTATCGACAAATTCGTGAATTCTTTTTTATGTTTCTGCTAAAGGGAATTTACTGTACTTTTATACATAGAAATACATAGTAAAAGGATTATTTCAGTTTGTACGTCATATTACCTATATGGATTGGATTTGATCAATGCTTTTGGAACAGTATTAATTACTTCTAGGAGTTCAAATCGATTGGCGTTCATTACATTCAAATCGATACACATAACGTCGACCCAGTATCATTGATATTATAAACATTACATGCACATTCATGTGTATTCACAGAGATTCGTTATTGTTACAATTAATCTAAATCTAGTTTACTTTGTCTGTTTGTTTTACCTGTATACAAAATGAGATTTTAAAACAAAAACATAATTTATAAAAAATACCCCGTCACACATTTTTTTAATTCAATTCAAAATCATACATTTATTCATCTGCTGCCTCAATCCATGTGTGACCATTTTTTGACATTGTTTTTTATTGCGACGCAATAGCGGTTTGCGGTTGAGCCCAGCACCTAAAATGACGTTTCGCTAAAATGTGAAATGTCATCGACTTTTCAAGGCCGTTTACAAAACATATATCAGGGCGCGAGATGTAACTGCATTGCTGTTTATGACTTGTGGGCGCCTACTTATAACATTCCTATAAAATTAACTGGTTTAGGAAGACAATAGGAACGTTAGATTTCCCACAAGGCACATTCTTATAGCAATACAATTTTCAAAAATAACGCTACAGGGCTTAATCACACGAGCCATTACTTTGTACTAAAAATCTTGACGTTATCATCGTTGATTCAATTTTCCTGCGACGTTAACTAAGTCCCTATAAGCCCTGTAGTAACATTTGAGCAATTAAAGCGCCCATATACTGTCAATATCGCGTAACCTGTACGTTGGCACTCAATAAGTACAATCTTAACAACCTAAGTACATAATAACTTACCTAATAATCAATGGTGTACACTCACAAACAAAAGGTAATATAACATTCCAAATAGGACATGGGACATTCACGTCGACAATCAAACGATGCGGCTTTGGTCAAGCAACGTCAGATTATTCATACGAGCATCATGGTCACCCATTTCGATCTGTTCTTTGAGCAATTCAAGTTCTTTGATTCCTGTTGCGGTCACTTCGTATTTGTGCCTGGCTAACGACATGTAGAAGTGTATGGCGAACGCTAGGAACACAATCATGACTGGAATGAGGACGACGCAAGCAGACCATGCTGCAGTCGGACTTAGGTCGTAGAACTTGACCCAGCAGAGTATAGCTATCTCTATAAGGAACAGTATAAGCCCGAGTAGCGTGGAGAAGGCCCACGCAATTTCTATGTACCAGTGGAGTCGTTCGTGCGGCGATTCGTGGACGAGGGATATGCTGTGGAGGTTTCCAACAGCTTCGATGTTCGGCAGGATACATGTGCTTATCATGAGAGCCAGCATGTGCACTGCAACTAGTAGTGTTGTACATACTGTGAAGGCTACTAGCATTTCGTTAGGCACTTTCGTGTTGTCAGGCGGATTAAGTTGAACCTCAACCATTGCTACCTGTTGACAAATTATCCTATCGTTATCTTCTATTCATGATACGGAAATAATGCGTTATCTCGTATTGATTTTTGATAAGATAACATATTGCTGTAATATTATATAATCGCTTTCATTTTATATTTCAAAAGCAACGCAACAGTTTATGGCTTTCATTTTGAAATAGCAGAAGTGTTTATTGTATTATTATACAAATATTTAAAAGGTAATACCATAGCGAATCCGGAGAGTAGAGCTGATGTCTTGCTGGAGGCTTTGAGCTTTGCCCTGCTGAGCTGCAGTTTCCTCCATGACAAGTATGCTGGCGTGTGGAGCCCGTCCGCCGACTGGATGGGAGTCTCACCCGACATCACGCACTTATGCTGCTGCCAATACCAAAACTCATTAACTCACCATAAAACGCAACAGAATGCACCATCACCCAGTTTCAATGTAAAACCAAGTTATGAATCGCGAAATGGTATTTTAATGGGAAAATCATGTTTGAGTTATGTTTCTATCGTGGTTACATGAAACGTTACTCACATGTTTCAACAATAACTATCTGCAATACTGTACTAGCATTTAAAATGGCAATTTCCAACATTTATCATTGTAAGTTGATGACTGCCTGCCATAAAGTCCGTGGGTGGTCTTATCATTGCAAGTATATGAGGATTATTTAGCGAAAACAAAAACACAATGAACATCAAACAAAATAGGGATATTAAAGACACTTAATACAACATTAAATAAATATAAAATTGGTACAAAAAATATTATTCACAAAGAAACAACACAAAATAACAAATGGGTAAGTTAAGAGGTATCTAATTAGACCTGACCTGAGACTATTATGCTGGTAATTGTATAAATTAATTGAATCCCCATGGGACCATCACAGCGTTTTTGTTACGGTTTTCCGTAGCAGCGAATGCCCATCAATTAAGTATAATTAAGGAATCAAAGGGTAGATCTCTTCTAAAGACATAATTTCTGTCTTAGTTACGTTACGAAGCCAATCGGCCAAGCCAAACACAGTGCATAAGTATGTGGAATTACTAGCAGTGTAAGTATTAAATTTTAACATTCTATTTTGACCCATTACCACTTCTACCTAACACTAGAAAAGAACCACCAATTTATAATTAGGTTAATCGCCACATGAGTTAACACTTAACGAGGATGTCTGAAGGCGCCTTCAAGGCCACAGGTAACCCAAGTTTCAGCAAAATAAATTCCCTGAAGGCCTAACCCTCCAACTAAACAACACTTAAGATAATAGACCACGTTTGTGAGCACAATTAACAATTACCACCAAATTTAAGATAAGGATGCAACCAATAAGTCTATCAAACTGCGCCAATTACCAAACCATCTATTAACTCTAGTTATAAGCAAATCAGAAGCAATTACTATGCTAGTTACCAGGTTTATAGAGGGCACATGATATTTTATCTCTAGGATATCTAATTAGGGCAACATAGACTCGTATCGAAAAAGTAATAGAGCTAATCTGTATATCTATCTCTTTCACACACAATAAAAAATGAGAATAGCCCAAATGTCGAAAAAAATTGTTAGTAGAGGAATGTACTAATAAGTTCGCGCAATCAAATGACTGACGGATATTTTGATCAAAGTTGGTGTTGATTGCAGAGGGAGATAAACTTAATTATAAATCCATTTTATGACCCCCATTAACTGGATATGTTCTAAACTTCGGCCAACCACCCCATAGTCGGTAGCCAAATATGAGCATTATGGAAAACCTCTTTTGTAGTGGCTAATTCAGCAATGAGTGGTATATATTCCGGCGTCGACTAATGAAGATCGTGATTCTATTGTTTGAGTACAAACAAAGATACAATGCTAAACTAAACGCAAATAAAAAATCTTAGTTTTATTAGCATAAGATTTCATGTGTCCTCCATAAGTTACTCAATGACTTTATAAAGAATTTCATTTTCTATATTTTTGAGAATTGCATTGGTATAAGATTCTGGAGTTCTATAATAATAAAGACAGTCTTGTGGAATAGTAAGAAGTATCAAACATTTGCAGTTTATAGTTTAGAAAGCAGTTTTACTAAGTCCTACTACTAGCAGCCAAAATGTCATCCATGCATCACATAATTTTCAATCTGATGAAACTGTAAGGACCATCAACAAACCTAAAGTGAAAATCGCTCAAAAAAGTAGGTGTTTGTTGTAGTAAAATACTATACTACTTGTATTTAATATACAAGGTTACTTAATTCATCAAACCCCAAGTGAACACATTTACACATCTATTGTCTTATTATTGTATCTCTAATAACCACAATGGAAAAGTTAATTTGGTGTATCTCAATTTACTTGACGAAAAGGCATGAAGCAGTATAAAATGAAACATCAACTAAACTCTGGGAAATAATAATTAAGGAAAATTTCTATTTATTATTTAATAACTTACTCCTGTATCATTGTATATGGTAAACAAAGCTTGTCAGTTTGTGAAATGACAATATGAATTGTTATAAGAAAAAAAAAGAATGTTATTTCTCAAAACACTGACGGAGATGACCAAAGAATCACTTGTGCTTGTTGTTATTTTAAGTCTCATCATCTCATCTGTCAGGTATATTTAAAAAAGCATTTACAATATCAAATAATTTGGAACACAGAGATACATGTCTAGGTCATATTTAAATACATATTTCACATGTCATTTTATCAAATGACCACATAAATATTTAATAATTTTGTGATGATAACGGACTGCGATAAAAAATTACTACGGTCCAACAGTTTCATGCCCTTGGCATCATTATAGCGTATTATCTGGACAACTTTCAATATTTATATGATTGCGGACTTTGTGAAAAAGGTTACAGAAATACAGGTACAGTAATTATTTATGTGATGTATGGATTTGTTAAAATATGCAGTAAAATGATTAATACTGAAACCCTCCTCCCAATAACAACTATTGTAAACTCACTCTTGTTAGAAAACGATAAGTAGTACAATCTTCAGTGTCTGCGTGCCACAAAACTGATCAAAATGCTCGCTAAATACCTGTCATCCAATCCTTTATAGGACAAAATAAAAAAAAACTGTCAATATAATAACTTTTAACACACAAACTTTATCACTGCATGCATTTTAACATATTATAATAAAATTAAATAAATATTAATAAGAAGTGTATAATATACTAAATAATTATCAAGGCGGATGTGAGTGTAGTATTTTAATTATCTGTGACATAGATCTACTTTTGTATATAGAATACCAATAACAAAGATGTATGATAGATAAAACAAAATAATAAGGTAGTGTTTCAAGCAATAACACTTAATATCAATATTAATATCTGCAACACTAATATTGATGATTGGTGATACAAAATAATATCATATACAAAATAATATCATACACTTATACAAGTTCAAAGTCAACAAATCAAATTATTACTACATCACAGACCAATCAATTCCACAATACAAATGATGATAATAGTCACCACTTTAGAAGATAATTAAACAAGACTTGGTCAAGCATTATTACTGAGCGCGTCTGAAGTGCGCCGCACTCCTTCACGACTGATACACAACTTACTAGTAAACAGTAATTACAGTTGTCATTCAGATTCAAGTTAAGTTTAGTAAAACAAAATGTTACAACATGCAACTAAAGTTATATCATACCTTGCTTAATTTTGGACACCAGTTGTTAGAGGAACCGAATTGACCACCTGGTAAAGCGGAGTGGTAATTATTTCCAGCAGTACTGGCTGACCAAACCGACATACCTAAATTATTTGCACGATAGTCCTTCGAATCAGTCGACGAGGTCAATCAGGGCCTTCAAGCCTTAGTCTGTGTAAGTGACAGATCAGTTATAGAAACATTACATTTTTTATCAATTTAAGCACTTCCCGTTTGGCTTATATTAGTAGTGTCTATAATATTAATTCTAGTTTTACCAAAACTACTATTTTACTAATCCATCCGTGCAAAACCGTTAACGTCATAAGTTGTCAAATAAGACAGATGTCAGTGTCACTGGCTGCCAGCTGTCATTGTCACCAAATATTGTAAGATTGACATTCTCGTGTTATCGTTAGGTTTCGCTAAAAAGGTTTTTGAGACACTTTTAAAAGAAATAAAATTAGTCTAACAAATTTTTGAATTTTGGTAAAAATTAGTCAAATATATATTTTAAGTAATATGTTAAAACAATAGAAATAAATAAAATATCTAGTAAAATGAATTTCTTTAAAAATAACTGGTTAGCTCTATCTCGTTTTAATACACTGTAATAGAAAGAAACAGCATTAACAAATAGAATAGATGTTAAATATCACAACATGGAACACGCTTGTAGAGATGGAGAAAAAATCGAGTTCATTTTGTAACGGTACTGTGTCTATACGGGAGTGTCCATGAAAAGTCGGGCAAACAGGCTAGCGAGAATGATAAGCAATTGACAAGTGGACGATTTGTCGTGTAGTGGATAATGTAGGTCGATTAGTAATTTGTTTTGGATATTAAATGTGGAATTGTGGACTGAACAATCGGCAGTCTGGTGTCGCTCGTGTGTAAAAATTTATGCTGAACTCAGTATTGTTACCGTTGGTTAAGTGGCTTCCCTCTGTGTGTCGCGATGGCTGAGGCTGCAGGTGCCGCGAGCAGTAATCCCAACGCGGAGATCATTCGGGGCCAGGTGTTCGAAGTGGGGCCCAGATATACGAATCTGCAATATATCGGCGAAGGCGCCTATGGCATGGTTGTGTAAGTATAGATTATTTTAGATTACGATAAAATCATTGAAGCTTGTAACTTTTATAACGTTAAATAAAGCGTTACATTCCACAAGTTCTGATAACTTTTATGTAATTCATGGGTGGACGAAGTTTGTTTTGTTTCATTAAGAGTAAACTTTTATTGACAGCAAGTGCACATTTCCATATATCTCCAATGTTGTTTGAAGTATAGCAAGTAAATAATACGATTTTTATAGTATTTTGGTCTTAAATAATTTGTGTAAGATAAGTTTTGCTTTTTATTACATTTGGTTAGCTTGGCTTACATAAACAAGCATATCTACTTATTAGATTTATGTTTGTACCTAGTTAAAAAGTTTGTACTAAAACATAGGTACTTATATGCTACTACCTACCTTTGATTAGACCTGAAAACAATTTATAAGTTATATTGATATGATATAGTAATTATTAATTTCTTATCTTCTCTCTACCTAGACAAAAAATTCACTGAAGGGCTTGGAATAAGTGCTATCTACCTTTCTAAAATGTTCAAATAGTGATTGTATTAGATTTCTAAAAAATATCCTTTCAGTATAATATTGATGACTAATGAAATAGCATAGTTAAAAATTGTTTCAATTGAATGGAGCATTTATTTTGTTTTTGTTATTTAATATGATACTGGCAGTAAAGCAGACAACAATAAATTAGATACTCTGTTGCTACTTAAAAAAAATGCTGTCTTTTCCTTTTATTGGTCACCTCTATGTGTTCCATTCCTGTAGTTTAAATACAGGTAGGTAATGTTTGCAGAGTCAACATATTAATTCAGAAGGACAAAGAAGGCTGATAATTCAATGTTTCTCATAAACAAGTGATGATGTAATGCTAGTGTTACAAGAACAATATCAGTATTCATATTATGCATTCAATCAGTTTATCAAGCCCCCATATCTACTGATAAAACACTTAAAAAGCTTTTATTAAAAATACAAAATAGTTATAGCGATGTTCTTACTAGCTATTTTCAAGTGACGGTTGAATCTTTTTCAGTTTTGTTACTGTTATATTGTGTGTAAAAACATTAATAAATCTAAATTATATTTAGGTTAAATAAAAACAAATATAGTACATATTTATTTTTAAATTTCCCTTATGTAAATTTAGGTACAAACATCATTTACTTATTTGACAAGAAATAGATTACATTATTTTTGAAAGTATATTTTTAGAATCAACAGGGAAATTCTTATTTCATTTTATTGGAAAATTAATATTTGAATAAGTTATAGGTGGAAAGAAAATAGGTTTTAATAAAAGATTAAGGATTACACCACAGAAAATATCACATTACAGTATACAGACATTATATGTAAAATATCACATTAAAGTACTTAGAGGTAACTTAATTTCAAATCTGGTCTTTGTGAATATTCTCATCCACCATTATGAGACTCATAGATTTATTTCATAAAGATTAGAGGTCTAGTTCTAGAATTAAATTCAAAATTGAATTGCATGTGACAAATTGTCTGTCATGTGCTTACATAAATTGTTATTATTAGTTCAATAAATATATTTATCAAATATTATACATATATACCTATTATATTTTTCTAATTAGAATAACCTTTTAAATAAAAATTGTCATTTAGGTAAGCAATTACATGTATGTCTGCTGTTCACAGTGCCTACCAAGTGCTTTAAGAATTATATAGGTACTTAGGTATGTACAATTATTAAAAAACAGAAGAGGAATTATGTCAAAATCTAATAAGTATTTAAGGTTGTACCCATCTCCTTCACCCACCCCCCCAGTCTTCAGACACTGAAGAATAGCGACAAAGATATATTGTCAATTCGTTACACTTATTTTACACTCGAGTCTGCACCTGAACGAAAACTAGGTCATCTATCAAAACTGTCGAAGGTCATCTGTAAATGTAGACTACCTCTTAGACTACCCCTTCATTGTTTAATATCGAAAAGTAATCCTTATCCCGCAACAATAGTGGCGTTGCGGTTTCAAAGAAATAATGTACGAAGAAAGACTTTTACGTACGACATTTTTTTTCTCTAAATTATACGACGAAATACTTAATTTAACTAACAGTTCGCATACTACATTTACGATAGGTACTACAAATCTAGACAGTGACACTCTAAAAGTCTAATTAAAAACTATTAATTGGTTTAGGCAGCTGTTTTTTGCAATGACTAGCAAAAGGTGCTTTCAAACACAAAAAACCAAAAAAAAAAAAAAATTGCGGGCAAGATAAACTAATAAAAAATGCCGCAATAAGATCGGCCTAGGTCTGGGAGAGAAAAAGGCATAGAACGGGAGGGTTTTTAGTCAGTAAGAGTCTGACACTCAAGAAAAGATATTTGATAATAATCTGTCACAAAAAAAGCGAAGAAAAAAAAGAATAACTACACGAAAATATACCTTTTAAAACGCGCATATCTTTCGACCAGTAATAAAGTTAAATCAGAAAAGATAAGGTTTTTAAATAGTGGGTAGGTACCTACTAATCTTTCAATTTTGTTAGTCGACCTTGCGCTTACCCCTTTACCTGCATACCACGACATAACAACAGCTCTGTAGTTTACACCTCGCTAAATGACTCATTATTACGAATATTATTTGATAAGATTAGTACGTTTACATTACGAATGAATTTACATGATAACGTGTTCGTACAATTTCAATATTGTATGTCCATTAGTATGACATTCGCACACTTGTGTTTATTTAGATAATTGCTGTGATGGTATCTGTGTAAATCATAATACAAAGTTGCTATGTACCTAAATGTTTTTGCAAAGTAATTGACTGTGTCGAGTAGGTATCTCATTAAACAGGGTTTTCCAGATTTGTCATTGTCAGCTGCCAGCGATATTTAAATAGTTATGGTCATAGACATTATAATTATAAAGACTATAGACCTATAGACATTCAAAGTGGTAACTCGAATGTTTGAAACAGATAGGTAACCTAGACGATATATAGTATTTGCGGACACTTTCTTTGTCATTATTCTGTATCGACCCGTCACTACTCTACTTATACCTACTACGTATTTTTTTATTGCCCGTTTCACTATCACAAACAATTGTTAAAGTGCGATCGTCTAAGCAAAATATTCGTTTCACGTAAACATTATTCTTTGTTATTTCAATCAAACATGTGTCTCAGTTTTTCTACCAGCATCTGGTAACATCGCTATTTTTTGATCGTTCACAATTAGAGTAGGTAACGTAAACAAAAATAATGTAGCCATCTTAAAATTCAATTTATGTAACGTAATATTGATTTGACAAATTCCCTAAAATTCAAAAGTTTTCGTGACAGCCGTCGTAAATTGTTCGTTCATTCTGGTCACGTATTCGTTCACCCGGGACTCAACAATATTCATCTACAAATAAGAATTCTATTGTTTTTGATGGTGTCATGATATCTAATATGTCTGCGATAAGAACAAAATATGGACTCGAACGAGGATAATATTTATGAACGAAGAACCTTGAACCTCTTTTGCAATCCAAAGTCATCCAGCGCCAAAGTTTGCCGTTTGACTATCATGTGAATGCATAGTGACTGAATTATCCTACAGTTAGCTTTACTAATAGACAGGACATGTCTGTTATTGAATTCAAATATAAAAGGAAGGCTTCTTAACATTCGAGTTATGAGTTATTTGCATTTAGTGGTACTGAAGTAGTTAATAATGAAAATGAAAATTGTTATTTTATTTCTAACGTACAAATTATTTCTGCATCTATCGGTCACTGACTCTTTTTAGTGATTACAAAATGGACACTGCATATACAACGCTTAGTAAGTTTCACGTTTATTCATAGTTATTTTACGCTCTCAAATATTCCACTGCTCTGAAATCTCTCTGATTCCTTACAAACTTATATTCTTTTCTCCGAATATTTAAAGATTTAAAAGTACCGAACTTGGTTGGCTTTGTAGCATTGTCTTTGAAGCCACCATTCCTTTTACTTAGCGGGGTACTTTACCCGTCTTAGAGCTTCTTGTTATTGACCTTAGGTGTCTTGAAGGATCCTCATTTTTCACAAGTCTCAGTTCTTTCTTCTGTTTACTTTTAGGAATGTTCTTAAAACTTTTAATAAAAGGGTTTCTTCTAAGAATCCTCTAAGTGTACGATTTCTTCAAAATTTTCATAAAGATTTTGCATATAGCGACTATGAGTCAGTTAGTTACGTACTTTCATAAGTAAAAGAAATAGATGAAGTAAGCAATTTTCCGATCTCACGATGTAAGCACGTATTCACGAATTTAGGGCAAGCACAAACGCTTTACGTGAATCACGACCTGATAAATCTCTCGTTGCTAAATTCTAGTCTCGCAAATTAAAGTTGTCTGGTATCTATATCGCCTTTTGTACGACCTTCAGAGGATAAAGTCGCTATTTCAAAGACTTAAAGCAATTAATTACAGAATAATTGCGTTAACTGTATCAAGCTTTGAGTTTCTATTCGGATAGCTTCGCTTTCATTTTATGCCAAACATTCTAATTCCAATAGTACGTTGTGATTCATTATTTTTGGGACCCCATATTTACAAATAAATATACATTAGAAGAAAAAATATTTGTTTTCGTAATACCTTTCTTGATTGAAATCAACTGTAAAGATATGAATAGCATACCAATATACAATTTTATCATATTGAAGTTCATATTGTATGTTGTACGTTAATACGAGTACCTACATGATTGCCTATTGTATATATTTAGTTAATTACTGGTATTGTTTTACCAGGGCGATAGGAAAATATAATTGTGATGTCCAATGCAGTAGACAAGCTTACTGCTAATTAATTTTGTGGTTTGGTTTTAGCTTGGAATAGTATATTGGTAGATAGCAATTTCAAAGCTGTTAATGATCCAACTTCGATGTCTTTCGACTGAAAGATCATAGATATTTAATAGAGTATTAACATTTAAATAAGATGTTTCGTGCCAACTTAATTGGGCCAGGAAAAAGAAGACGAAT